AGGAGATAGGAGCCTCCAGCCTTTGTAGTGGAACCTCTTCTGAGTGGAACCTCTGTCCTATGGATGAGATGGGATGAGAGTAACCATAGCATCAGTCTCCTTAACCAAGTTCACACCTCTGTTATGCCTCTGTGCTAAATAAGGGTGGACAGAAGAAGGAATGAGTGAGTAGAGGTAGGTGGAAGAAGGGAGCATATGACCTGTTAATTTGGTAGCGGGAATTTGTTCTTTATACAATCTAGCCATGGTGATTGATGAATGCCCACATGTGGCTCCTCACATGGCAGATAGAGGGAAAGGAAATTCATGGACTTGGCCTTGGTTGCACTTGTTTACAGTGAAGTTATCCCTGTGTTGAGCTAGCAGAAAGCAGGGGAGGCATGGGCCAGGATTTGAATGTCCCCAAATCCTCCTTGTTCACTCTGAGTTATAGTAGAGTTTATTTAACAATTAAAAAAAACATATTTCTGCCCTTATGGTAATTTTCATGCACAGTTGATTGTGTTTTTAAAAATTAATCTTTATCATAGATACTTGTTTTTTTTTTTTTTTTTCTGTCGGGTAGGCCTCATGCTGTCCCTTCAGGAGTGAACTCTTGGAAGATGTTACTTTTGAGAAAGGCGCTTCAATCCAGGTGGAAAGAAAACAAATGATTAATAATTCAAAAGAAGACTAGAGAGATAGCTTACTGGTTAAGAGTACTTGCTACTCTTCTATAAGACCTGAGTTCACTTCCCAACACTCATGTCTGGAGCCCATAACTGCCTGTAACTCCAGCTCCAGGGGATCCAATTGTCGCACCTGCTGTGCAGCCTGCATCCGAGAATGTAGTGAGGTGGTCGGGATAGATGACACAGAGACCGGTCGGTTGCTTTAAGAAAACTTTATGCTTCCCAAGTCAGCTTAGGAGGAGACCCCCAAGAAAAAATGCTTCCCTTTTTAAGGACTTCTGTTTGTACTAAGAGAATGCATGTATTGCCTTTATTGCCAGGAGAATGTGTGTGTGTGTGTGTGTGTGTGTGTGTGTGTGTGTGTGAGTCTTCATTGCAAGCGCTAAGAGGTCTCTCCCTTGTAGGAGGGAGGAGCTTTATATACATGTTTACAGCACAGTGGAAAAACCCCAGGTAGAAGAGATAGTTGTTTTCCTCCTGCTAGATGTTGATGTCAGAGGGTCAAGGCTGGGGCAGTAAGCCAGGACTAGAAAACAGAAAGCACTTGGACTGGAAAACAAGTTACACTTGTAGGCTGACCAGCAACTCACAGAGACCCCATGGGGCTGGGGCCCAACAGACTTCTGCCATCCATCTACATACAATTCTCCAACCAAGCTCTCACAGCTCTCCCAGACTTCTCACCCTCCTGGCTGGTGGTTTAATCTCTGGCCCCAGAATCGGGGAGACACAGCAGGGAGCAGGAAGAGGCATCTAGCCATGGGGGATCAAAGTCATGGTGTTTCAGTGAGCAAGCCCTTAAGGGAGCCCTATCAAGAGCTTTATGGCACTGAATTGTTTTCAGTAAACATGTTTTCAGTAAACATTATCTCACAGCTGCCTGCTCCCAGGCTGAAGGGGAAGTGGGTTTCTGCTCAAGGTCTGGTGTCCCCACAAATATCCCCTATGAAAGACTAAGTATTGGCTCAGGACCCCCAAAACCAAGTTCTCAGCACAAAGGAGATTTATTTGCCACAGAGGGACAGAGGGCAGGAGATAAGAGACAAAGACAGGAGAGAGAGGATGAAGGGAAAGAGAACAAGAGAAAGTGGAGTATTTTCCCTGGAGGGACAAAGGACTGCCTCTGAATAGAGGGGAGACAGGCATGGCAAATAGGAATCAATTTATAAAAGTACATAGGGAAACCGTGTGTTACGATGAGGTTTTCATTTTAATTGGGCATGTTAATTAGGTGAGACGAAGGTGGCTTCTGATTGTTGGACTTCAGGACCTTGGTAGTCAGCTTCAGGAGGGGAAGTGACCAAATAAGGGAATAGATTTCAGTGGCTAGCTTTAGGAATGTAATCTAGTAGTTTTAAAAGGAAATAGGAGCTGGGCGGTGGTGGTGCACGCCTTTAATCTCAGCACTCGGGAGGCAGAGGCAGGCGGATCTCTGTGAGTTCGAGGCCTGGCTGGACCGATAGCCTCCAAAACAATACAGAGAAACCCTGTCTCGTAAAAACCAAAACCAAAAAAAAAAAAAAAAAAAAAAAAAGGAAATAGGAGAGAAGGGCAAAGCCTGCCAGAGCCATGCTCACCACACTGAAGCTGGCCAGAGTGCCTTCCTTCTGGCCTTCAAGGGCACCTGCACAAATATAGTCCATATAAGTTCACCCAGGCACACATAAATAAACATAATAAATAATAAAAACAAAACATTGAACACCTATAAAACAAAACCAGATTCTTATTGATACACAAAGAAAACAAATTTAATACTTTAACTTAAACCTCAAAATGTAGTAATATTTTAGTTATAATTTTAACACAGCTTATAGTATTGATTGAATACTTGATCAAACATTGAGGAAGAAGAGTAAAATAATATCTTTGTCTTTAATGAAGTGAAGGTAATATTATAAATTATTCTTTTATGTTATCATGCATAATGAAAATGAAAGAAAAAACATTTTGAAGAGAAAATATGTCCCTCCCCCAAGTTTTAAAGAGTGTGAAAGTTAAAATATGTCATTGTGAAATATGTTTTTGAGACAAGTTCTCATACTGGCCTTGAACTTGGTTGTTGAGGAGGCTGGTCTTGGGAATAGGGGTCAAGGGTAAATACTGTAGGTGCATCCCACAGGATTCCATGGTAGGACAACATTTTCTATGAGAGGGACAATAGAAGAGATGGGATCAATTCAAGCTGGAGCTCCTGTCTTACTAAAGTGTGGATCCCCAGGAGTTATGTCTGAGCAAGTTATACATTAGGATGTCCTCATTGTCTTCTCCCCTAAATCTAGATGCCAGCGCAGCGACTCAGTTGTCTTGAAGGTTTCTAGGAATATGGCTGAGGTGACTGTGGGGAAGCAAGAAGTTATGACTAGCCACATGATAGACAAATGGAGTCCAGTCACCACTGGCATCTCTGGGAAGCCATATGGAACATACGTGAAGCATTTTATCAAGGCAGTGAGGAGAGTCAACTACACATAGGTGTCTACAGCAAGGAGCTGAGTAAGACCTGTCACTAGGAACTGTCAACATGTGGGCACATCTGTCCTGCTGTTCTTGCTGACTATGTCTGAGAATGACTTTCTGACAAAGATGTAGTGACTAGTTATGTGAAATCATAATGTCGCATTTGAATTTTATGACTCTGAGGTGTATATTGCCAGTGTTTGCTTCCTCACAGAGGCTTATCAACAGAGACCAGACTGAATCCTGCTCTTCTCCATACTCCTGATCTCAAGCTATGATCATCCTGTAAAGAAGAGGGAATAGATGCCTTTCGTCATCAGAAGTGTTGTAATGACAAACTTTAGCTTGTTGGTGAGAGACTATGGAAGTTAAATGAATAAACAGTTTCTGCATAACCTAAAGCAGGCTACTATGACACTAGGAGACTGAACACAAGGCAAAAATAAACTTTGAGGTCTCTTTGGAAGAAACAAGAAACAAAACATAGAAATGGAAGCAAAAATTACAAGAATCTTATACAATCCATCCAGGACTATCCTGATCCATACAGTCAATACTGAACATTCTGAGGAAAAGCAAAGATGGTGAGCTTGGAAAGGATAAGAATTCATGGAGTTATTTTTAAATTCTCTGTGCTAGAAAGAAAAAGCATGGAAGTAGGTGTACCCGGGGCTAGACTGAATTGGAAAAGTAAGCTAATGTGCTACAGTGATACAGACAGATACAGGAAGCCCAAGTGCACACAGCGGTGGTGCAGAAAGAATGAGATTAGGTGCTGATAGAGACTTAGGAGTTATTGTTGAACTGGGGTATTACTAAGGCCAAGATTAAATGGAAACTAAAGGTTTTGATGATAAGGAGCTCACAAAATGATAGCAAGACAGATGGCAGCCGATATCAAAATGGAAACATACAAATTCTGGCATTAGCATTGAAGAACAAACAGAAATAGCACTTTAGTCTATATATATATGCCTTACTTAGTGTATTAACCCTAGCATGTAGAAAACCTCTGAATCTACCTGCATTTACGATTTCCAGCCTGTTTATGGCTTTCAGACTGTTACAGGTATGGGATTGTTCAGAGATTTGCCAACCTGACAATGAATAAATTTTAGTAAACAAGAGTCTTTTTAAATACTGGCCAGGACGATGGATACTGACCTGGTCCATATGTGAGACTGGTGCTCAGAGTTTAGCTCTGAATTACATTAGTTGGGGACTTATAAAGGCAAAATTCACAAGGCTACATACTTCGCGCCTTCAAGCAATTAGTTCAGTTTCAACATTTAAATTTGTTCTTGTTTCATTTCTTCCAAAGAGATCTTAAAAGTTTACTTTTCTCTCATCTTCTGTCTCCTAGTTCCACAGAGACAGATGAAGGGCAAAACTCAAAAGACTGTGTGTTCCCTGTCTACAAGTAATCAAATACACACACACACACACACACACACACACACACACACACACACACTCAGGACAACCAAACATAAATGCACATGCATGTTATTTTACATGACCACAACCCCCAGAATCCCAGGAAGTTATCTATCTTTGGGCAAGTGGGATTTACAAGGTTGAGGCATTTTTAATTTATAGATCTCTTAAGCACAGCCATCGCACAGACCTGGAAGAAAATGAGGTGAGGAAAGAAACTACTGCTAGGGAGTGAGAAGACAAAATATTACAGTTACACACTGAAAATTTTACCCTACCATCAGCACATGAGTTCTTTTTAGAGAAAAGAATATATCAAAGATTTAAGTAACGTGATGTGTATTTTTTCTATAGTGTGTGTGTGTGTGTGTGTGTGTGTGTGTGTGTGTGTGTGAGATCCAATGGAGCTGGCTGTTTTTAATTTTCCTTTTGCAGAGACTCCTACGTGAAGACCTAAAACATGAAGAAGAAAAGGGAAGGGGGCAGTACTTTCCTCCCTTGACAGCAATACTCTTTTCTGCTTTTAAGGCGCTGCTCCTCTGCTCTTCCATATTTAGTAACACCAAGGAATCACCATGAGATGCATTAATAACACTGGCAGGTTTATATAGCAGTGCCTGAAGGTAGAAACAAAAGGGATAGAGAGAGTGAGCATTTAGTCATGCTAAGGGAGTCTTTTCAAACTTATCTGAAATATTTAGACAGTATTTTCTAATGTTAATAAAATGTTAATTTCCATTTTATGAAACTTTTGACTTGATCTGCTTCTAGAGAGAGTGGCATGCATGGCTTGAGTTGACTTTGGCATATTTGGCTGGTACCGGCAATTGGGGAGGCAGATGCTTGTCTTCATTTTAATGATGCACAAGCCATCCATGTACTCTTGACTGTGTAGCAACTCTTGTAGCTGCTGTACTGCAGTGTATGTGTTGAGTTCAAGGGAATTCAGAGGAGTTGTGTTAAGTTCCAAGCCTGGAGATAGAGCACAATACCCAGTATTCAGGCATTTACTCACCCAGGAAGTAAGGTTCTGATCCTCAGGTCTCCAGCATACAGAATGTATTTTAAACACACATAGTCTACAATTTGTGTTTTTCTTTAATGGAAATAGAAGTAAATTATTATCTGGTATTCATAGAATCATGAATATCCTTAAATGTCTAAGATGAGAAAACAAGCTCTGTACTAATATTACTATTTGACAATCTATTTGACACCAGAAGTGAGACCTGAACTCTTCCTACACATTGCAAATGTCTTCTCCCAGCATGTGGTTTATTTTAAACTGCTTAAATAGGTTTAAACCTTTTGGGTATGAGTATTCTACCTCCATATATCCATGTATGTGCACCGCAAGAGTACACAGTATCTGGGAGGCCAGGAGAGGGGCCTAGGTCCCCTGGAACAGGAGTGACAAGTAGTTGTGAACAGCAATGTGAGTGCTAGGAATCAAACCTTGTTCTTAGCAAGAGCAGCAGGTATTCTTAACCAGTGACACATTTTTTCAGCTCCCGAAACAGGTTAAAACCTTATGCATTCTTATTCAGCTCACGTTTAGCCAGTAATGTTGGTGAGACTTTATGGGTGTAGCTTTTGACATTTCAATAAGACATAATCTCATAGCAAACTCACTTCTCCTCTGTCTTTTACAGTTTTTCTGCTCCTCTTCTGTGGTGACCCCTGTCTCTTAGTTGCAGGAGTTGTACTCTATGTGTATCCATTAAAGGTAGGCTCTTAACTCTGTATTTTGATTGGTTGTAGCTTTCTGTAATGATCTGTCTGTTGCAAAGAGATGTTTTCTTTATGAGGGGTAAGGATTAATGTTATCTGGAGCTATACTGACAAATACTTATGTCGCACCTGCTGTGCGGCCTGCATCTGAGAATGTAGCGAGGTGGTAGGGATAGATGACACAGAGACCGGTCAGGTGGTCGGGATAGATGACACAGAGACCGGTCGGTTGCTTTAAGAAAACTTTATGCTTCCCAAGTCAGCTTAGGAGGAGACCCCAGTCCGCTTAGGAGAGAGAAGTCTCAGGAGAAGTCTCTCTAAGAAAAAGGAGCTTCCCTTTTTAAGGACTTCTGCCATTCATCTACATACCATTCTTTCCTCCTGGCTGGTGGTTTAATCTCCGGCCCCAGAATGGGGGAGACACCACAGGGAAACAGGAAGAGGCATCTAGCCGTAGGGGGTGTGAAAGGCCTGGTATTTTAGTGAGCAAGCCCTTATCTGAGCCCTATCAAGAGCTTTAAAGCACTGAATTGTTTTCAGTAAACATTACACAGATGCCTGCTCCCAGGCCGAAGGGGAAGTGGGTTTCTGCTCAAGGTCTGGTGTCCCCACATACTTAGAATATAGTTAGGATTTATGCCAGTTTAGTAAAGTTGTAACTGTAGATTCTCCTCCAAGACCCATGACTTCATTAGCCCTAGGTATACATATAGGTTTCCAATACCAGGCATGAGGTCCCCCCTGTTAAGTAGGTCTTAAGTCCCATTAGAGCTGCTGGTTACCACAAGGCATGTGTTCACTACGGCACTTTTAGGGTTTCTGTACCATGCTGGCCATTGTTGTAGTTCATAGGCAGAATATCTGGGTAGGACTATTGGTTGCGACCATCTTTTGGAAGCTTGCATGATGCCTTCTGGCACCATGAAAGCTAGTCTTTAGGGAGGAGGCTTTCAGGTCTGTCCCAAGTCAGGGGCCTGTGGTCCCTGTGTCTAAAGCGCATAGTGTCTTCACCAATAGGCATGCCTAAGTGGATGGGAGAAAGTCCATGAGGCCTCAATCCTACTACACAAATAACTATGATGTTGGGGAAGTCCTTTGTCAGTAAAGCACTGCTGGCCAATAGGAATCTAGATAGGTGGGACTAGGAGTCCAGGAGGTCTCTAGGAAGGAGAAACACAGGAGTCGAGATGTAACGCCATGGGGTAGGAAGCCCGGAAAGTTCTCCGGTGAGAGAAATACTTAGATTAACAATTATGGGGTAATTACTTAAGTCAGAGCTAGCCAGTAAGAAACAAGCAAGGCCAATAGCTTCATAATTAATATAGCCTCTTGTGTGTTATTTGGGGACTACAATGCAGCAGAGCCCAGGCGACTGGCAGGTGATAAACCAAAGCAGCTAGCAAGGAAAAGCCTCCCTTTACACTATGACAACTAAGAAATGCTAAGAGTGGAAGAAATAGTCTCCTCCAGGGAAGAGCACACCCATTGGACAGCCCTGAGAACATACATACAAGTAATTATTACACAGTAGACTGAGAAAGTTATATTTAGGAATATATATATATATATATATATATATACACGCATGCATTTAACAATCATTAATGAAAAAGGAAGCCATGAATTTAAAATAATTTATGGGAGGGTGTGGAGGGAGGGAAGGGAAGCTAGAAAGGATGTAATTATTTTAATCTCAAAAATAGAAGAAAAACAAAAACTTATGCATTATTGCTCAAAGTAATAAAGCAGTATCTCATCATTTCCCAAACTTTGCAATTTATTATATTTATGAGTTTAATCTAAATGACTTTCAAGTGTGCTATGACATATGGATACTTTTCATACATATAAATAATTACCCTCTTTAATGAAATAATCACCATTTTTATACTGATTACCTAGGCCACTTATATATTGTGGGGAAAGGGGACCAGTCAAAGAAACACACCCTGAGCAGAGCCAAAGAAACACACTTTGGCCCTGCAACTAGAACCAAAGAAATGTACCCTGACCGTAAACCAGTGCCAAAGAAATACACTTTGTCTCTGGAATCTGAGTCAGTGAAAGAAATAAACCCTGGCCCTAAAATTAGAGCAAAATGGCTAAAAAAGACCAGTGAAAGAAACACGCTTTGGCCCTGAAACCAGAGCCAAATCTGACCCTAACCCTGTACAAAAAACTAACCAATCCTCGAGCAGAGTTCTAGCCAATCTGAGCTCAGCACTAAAATGTGACCAATCCCCACCCTGGAAGCCCTATATAAACCCTGAGTTTGTTCAGCTTGTGGCTGTCCCTACTACCTGGCTGTCCTCTGCCACATTGGCAGAGGGCAGCCACTCTCCTGGATGCTCCCTTCCAATAAACCACTTCAATGAGCTTTGGCTGAAGAACTTCTTTTGCATTGGGGGTGGAGCAGAGGCGACCCTGGGCAGAGCAGAGCAAGCAGGGCTGTAACACTTTTGCCATGTAAATGTTCCCTTGGCAGAGCAGTGGTGTTACACTCCTCTCCATGCTCTCTGCTCTCCAGGAGCAGAGCTGAACTCTAGCAACTTCGCCAGAGAAACCTCCTGCCGAGTAAAACTGCTACTTCTGGGCAAAAATTCCCAGCTGGAAGACCCTGTCCTGTTAGCTGATACACTGGGGAAGCCTTTTCCAGAGGCAAGGCTGTAAGCTGCTAAGCTTACTACAACCTGTGGTAGTCCTTGGCTCCAGAGCTCCAGGTACCTTTCCAGCTGAGCTGTGTAACACTCAGTGTTCTGTGACTCCCGAGTGCCAGAATACCTGTCTCCTCCCGAAACGCTTACATATATGAAGCTGCATTTATGCATTTGTGTGATCATTTATAGGCTTGCTACTAGATTGCTGTGGTTTTGGTTTGCTCTAAGGCAATACAACATTTCAATTATGATTGATTTGTAATATGCATTGCTAATTGGGCAAGCTCTTCTATCCATTTTTTCCTGGCTTTACTTGGCTGCCTAATCATTTACACCCTAGTTTTTCAGGTTCATAATGAACTTAACTAGGATTTTGAAAAAAACTCAAATTGTATGTATATATGTATGTGAAGATATTATAATAGGTATCAGTTATTTCTAAGACTATCGTCTCATGTACTTGATAATTTATTTAATTTAATAATTTTTGTACTAGTACCATGCATTCATTTTATTTTATTCTTGATGTTCTTGTGGATTTGTTTTCTTGACATAGGGGTCTCATACAGTCTGGGCTGACCTCAAACTCTCTAGGTAGCCAATCTGTTTTTGAACTCCTGGTCTTCCTGCCTCCACTTTCCAAGTTCTGAGATTATAGGCATATGTTCAGCTAAAGCTATTATGATCTGAATATGAGATGCCCCTCACAGATTTGTCATTCGAGGTTTGATCTTCAGCCAGTGACACTAGTTGAGGAGGTTTTGAAACTTGCAGAGATGGGACATAGTTGGAGATCTTGGAGGCAATGTTGCCCTGGTTTGCTTTTCCTCCCCTTCCTCCTTCTTTCCTCTCCTTCCTATTTTTTCATAAACTGAAGTTTTTCCATCACATGCTACTTCAACCAAAACACATGTACACACACATGCATACACATGTATACACACACCACACCATACACACGTGCACATTGTTAAGAAGTAGTAATGGAAGATACCTTGGCAGGTTGAGTCCAAGGTATTCTGCAAAGAGGTCACACCACGCAACAGATCTTATGTAAGAGGTTTATTGGGGAGGAGGAATGAAAGACTGTCTTGGAGTGAGGACATGAGAGAGAAATAAAGACAGACAAATAGAAAGACCAGAAGATAGAGAGAAAAAACAAGAAAGCAAGAGATGTGATGGCAGGGACCTTTTAAAGGGTTGATGACTTCTGATTACGTAACTGCTGAGTCTCTGAGGACAGGCTGCAGGAACACCTGGTTTCTAACACATGTACCACACACACACACACACACACACACACACACACACACATCTCCCCCATACACACCATATGTTTATACATGTTTTCTTATACATCATATTTTTATCTATGTTTTCCTCATATTTGTTGCCTGAATTGATTTATAACCATAAATCTGTAAATCATGAGAGTTTTAATAACCCAGTTATTGAATCCATGATATTTTGTAGTATTGAAATGATGTAATTTATCTATTCCCTTATTGAGGAGTTAATTCTAACTCTTATGAAGAAAGTTGTGAAAAAATTCCTTTTGTGGTCTCCCTGACCACTTTATTGTTTATCTGAGCACAAACAGCACATCTAACAGTGGTGTCTTTAACCAGGAGGGTGTCTTGGTGGGGATCCAAAACCAGTCACCTTCTCAAACTTACTGACCTGTCATATGGTAACATCTATTATCCTTGTTTATTCTGTGTGGCCAGTTCTCATTTTTCCCAATCAGTTTCATCTGGCCTGTATTCCGGGTGGTCCAGTAAGCTGGGCTCCAACAGGGATACCAAGACTTGAAGAGGTTCCACTGGTTCTAGGGCCACTTCCTGGGCAGTAAAGTCATCCATTCTGTGGCCTCTGGCTTCCAAGGAACCCTTCCCCCCCAGTTGTATTTTGCCATGGATAGTGGACACCCCCTTGGATAATGATATAGCTTCCAGTAGAGCTAAGATTCCTTCTCTATTTCTTATCTCATTTCCTGCTTGGGCTAGCAATACTCTTTCCCTGTATGTATCCCCATGGACATAGGCCATTGTGAAAGCATATTGACTGTCAGTGTATATTGTGATAGTTTTGTCTTTTCCGTCGATGGAGTGTTCAAGTCAAAGCTAAAAGCTCAGCTCTTTAAGTTGAGGTTACCCTGCTTAAAGATTATTTTCCGGATAGTCCTAACTTGGGTCACCATCACTGTCCCTGAATTTCATCCTGATTTGGAAGAAAATGCTCCTATCTGTGAACAATACCAAAATCTGGTGTTGTCAGTTCCAGGTCAGTCAAATCAGGCCTGAAAGAGATTATGTCAGTCAGTTCAAGACAGTTATTCAGGGCTGACATCTTATGGAACTGAAGGTAAGGTAAGGTTGACCCAAAAGAAAGCCTTGCTATTGGATCATCTGGGTGTTGGACATCTATCTCTCATATGCTCCACTTGAGAGGGCCTCAGCAGAGTATGGGGGCAATGAGAAACCTTTTTTTTTCTTGGTTTTTTGAGACAGGATTTCTCTGTATTCCTTTGAAGCCTGTCCTGGAACTTGCTCTGTAGACCACACTGGCCTCGAATTCACAGAGATCCACCTGCCTCTGCCTCCAGAGTGCTGGAATTAAAGGCATGCACCACGAACACTCAGTAAGAAACAGTTCTTGTCCTAAAGTTAATTTGTCAGCTTCTTTTACTAGCATGGATGTGACAGCTATGACATTTATATATGCTGGCCATCTGGTTTTGACTGGGTCAAGTCTCTTGGGCACATATCCCACTGATCTTTTTCGGGATCCCAGGTTTTGCATGAGAACTGCCTTGGCAATGCTTCTGGTTTCATTCACATACAAGTAAAAGGTAGTTTTGTGGCCTGAAGACTCTGTTTCCCAGGGCTTGGACAGTTTCTAAAAGGCCTTTTGTTGCCTGTTTATATTCCCTCTCAGAGGTCAAAGCTATGAGGTCGTCTACACATTGGAGCAGGGTGCTTTGTGGGTATTTTTGTCTCAATTCCAATAGGTCTGTACTCAGAGCTTTATTAGAAAAAGTGAGTTTTTGAACCCTTGTACAAACAGAGCTCAGGTTAACTAACCAGTATATTCACCCCCTGTGGTGGTATATTCAAAAGCAACTATGGTTGACTGTGGCAAATAGGAGGCAGAAGAAAGCATCTTTTAGATCCAGGACCATCTTTTAGATCTTCTTTTGGAGGGCGAAACACTTAGGATGTTAGGGTTCAGTACTATGGGGTAGATGATTTTGATTCACTTGCTGACTTCCCTTAAATCCTGAACTGGTTAATGTCAAGTGTCAGCCTTCAGAACAGGGAGCAAGGGAGTATTCCATGGGGAGTGACAGGGACAAGAATTCTTGCTTCCTTCAACTGGTTGATATACTTAATGATTCTTTGTCTGGCATCCTGGTTCATGGGGTATTGTTTGACCTATACTGGTGTTGCAGAACTTAATAACTGAACTATGATGAATGATTGGTATGCTGCTAAGCCTGGTGGGTGCCCCTTGGGTCCTAACATCTAGGTACCTTGCTTTAAGTTCCTGCATGTGTCCTGAGGATAACTTCCTATCTGGTGGCTGAGTCCTTGTGTAAGAGGTACTCCTCAGATAGAGAACAGATGACCAGAATATTGGTAAGAGCTTGACCAGAGTCCACAGTTAGACTAGTCAAGTTCCCCCTGAAGAGACGGTGGCTCTGAGTTTTTGTAGTAAGTCATTTCCAATCAATGGGTATGGGCAGTCTGGCATAATAAGAAAAGAATGATTCACAGTACCTTGTCCTAGGTCTATGGTCCAAAAGGTTGTCTATGGAAACTATATTGTATGGTATGTCGCTCCTTGGACTACTGTTTTCCTAGAGGTTAGTGGTCCAAGGGAATCTGTCAAGGCAGAGTGTGCTGCTCTGGTATGTATTAGAAAGTTAACAGTTTTGTTCCCTAATCTTGCAGTCACCTTCAGCTCCTAGGGACTAAGTCTTATGCAACTCAGGCCCCATCAATTTTCAGATAGCTGAAAGATGGAGTAGCTCTGCTCTTTTTCTTTTCTGCTAGGACAGTCATTCTTACAGTGACCTTTCTGCTTGCAACAAACACACTGTTTCTTTACCAGACATTTTCTTTCCCTTTCTCGTGGTCTATTTTCCTTTCTCTAATTTCTCCCTTGAATGTTTCCCTAAAGCAGCGATGACCACTCAGGAAGAGTTTCATTCCCTGTCTATCTTTGGCTGAATCTTGACTGTTGTAAACTTCCTGAACAGTTTCTAATAGTTGAGACCTATTCATCCCTCCAAATCCCTCTAATTTCTGGAGCTTTTTCCTTATGTCTGGTGCTGACTGCATGGCAACGGCCACATTGGTGGATCTTTGGTTTTTAAGGGCATCTGAGTCTATGGGAGTCAATATTGGGTATTACTCAGAGAGCATTTCCATACACCCAGCGGGAGATTCATCAGAATTGTGAATTACCTGACTTACCTTGGACCAGTTGGTAGTTTCCTGGCTATCACTATTAATCCTCCCAACAATGTCTGGCAAAATGTATCCATCAGCTTTTAACCTTCATTGGCATTAGGATTGAAACTGGGTCAGGTGGATGGAAGGGTCCTCTCTATCCAGGTGTCTGCATCAGGCAGTGTCTTGCTACCTGGTCTCAGAGTCAACTTCCAAAGTTCTAGCTGGATTCAGTCCTTACCCATAAACAGAGTGGTCAAGAGCTGCTGGCAGTCATCCCAAGTCAGCTGGTGTGTATAAAAACAGTTTCCAACAGGCTGATGAAGGCGTGCAGCTTCTCTGAAAATAAAATCACTGATGGTGAGGGGAATATATACCATAAAGGCATTTCCCTCAAGGAGAGAACAGATGGTACTTCCTAAGCCTCAGACAAAACTTCGAGAGAAGGGACTGGGTGTTATAAGTCAGCCTCCTGGCCTTCCCTCTGGGGAGAACATTTCCTCCAGACCCTCTTGCATTTCCTATTGGCCCAGTCAGAAAATGGCAGAATATGCATCTCTTCAGGTGGAGTTTCTAGAACCTGTGCTACTTTGGGCTTCTCTACCATTTTGGCCACACCAGGAGGACCCTGACCCTCAAAGACTGTAAATTTTCAAGCATAGGAGTGGTTGAAGGGCAAGGGTCAGTCAATGACTGGCATAGGGAAACTGATCAGTTTGATAAGGAGAGCTGGTCACAACATTCCAGACTACCTTGACTGCCTGGGATGCAAAGATCCCTCAGATAGCCCTCCCATCTTAAAGGAGGGCCACTCATGTTCTCAAAGGCATCCAGGGGAGAAATGAATTCCATAGTCGTCCCCATCCAAGAAGCTCCTCTAAAAATGTTTTAATATAGTAAAATTCCCTCCCCAAGGGCAAGTGACAGACTGACTTCAAAAGACAGAAACAAACAATGCAGATACATTAACAACTGTTAGGAGGCTGGGATCATCCAGAGGTTCACCAATCTGACAAGATAATTTAATAAGAACAGTCTTTTATTTTCAGATAGTGGCCATGAACAAACCAAACACTGAAAATTCTAGATAAGGTCCATTAGTCTAAGGATTTTAAAGTTACAATTTGGGGGGATTGCATTAACTCATATCATGCACGGGTGCAACAAAGCTTAACTTTTCTAACAGATGTCAGGCAGATCCCTCAGTTATCCCAAACAAGCAAGCATCATATACCAAAAGAGAACTAGCAGTTAGCCTGTTAGCCTTGTTAATCAATTATCTTGTAAGAACAGCTGAGGCAGTGAAAGATTTTACAAGATTGAACAGTTTTTTAGAATAATCCAACTATTCCAGAATAATCTAACTATCCCAGGAAAAGGGAAGTCCTGGGTACAGGACACAGCATATACAAACTAGAGGCTTACATGATAAAGGTATTTTTGTGTATATATATATGTGTGTATATATATGTATATATATGTAATTAAAACCCTAAATAAGGGCTGGAGAGATGGCTCAGAGGTTAAGAGCACTGACTGCTCTTCCAGAGGTCCTGAGTTCAATTCCCAGCAACCACATGGTGGCTCACAACCATCCACAATTTAATCTAGTGCTCTCTTCTGGCATGTAGGCAGAACACTGTATATGTAATAAATAAATGTAAAATAAATAAATAAATAAAACCCTAAATAAAATGCTAACCATCATATAACCAGACAAATTACAGATAGCCACCAAGCATTCATTCATCCAGTAGATGGAGTTGGGAGGACTGGGGTACATGCCCCTGGTAATTCCTCATAAAGTCCCTGGACACAGGATCCACAGTGGCATCTGTCACCCCATATTGTGCCCTCATCACTTGGTGAATTCTATAAAAGGAATTTACCTTCTGAGGTGTTCAGATCAGATGACTCTCCATTTGCCTTTTTTTGGGGGGTGTTGGTGGTGTTGGGATGATAGGGCCCCTAAGTGTTCAGGTCCAGTCCCTGGGATCTTGGTGGGACCTCCAAATGTTTTGGAGAGTTTTCCAGAGGTGACCACTCAGATATAGTTTATAGCCAATTGAGTCTTTATTCCAGTGGCTAGGACCACACGCAAGTGTTTTGGGATCTGGGCATGACCTCAGATGTCCAGAAGATGGGTATATATTAATTTAAATTAGAAACAAGCTTGCTTCACATATCAATCCCAGCTCCCTCTCCCTCCTCTCTTCCCTCCCTATTCCCCCACCAGCCACCCCCTCATCCCCCCACCCAATACCTACTCCATTCCCCAGGGAGGGTGAGGCCCTCCATGGGGGAGCTCCAGAGTCTGTCATTTCATCCAGAGCAGGGCCTATGCCCTCCCCCATGTGTCTAGGCTGAGAGAGCATCCCTCATTGTGTGATGGGCACCTAAAGTCCAATTGTATGCCAGGGATAAATACTGATCTACTACCCAAGGTCCCATAGATTGCCGAGGCCTCCTCACTGACACCCACATTCGGGTGGTCTGGATCAGTCCCATGCTGATCTTTCAGCCATTAGTCTGTGGTCCAAGAGCTCCCACTTGTTCAGCTCAGCTGTCTCTGTGGGTTTCTCCAGCCTGGTCTTGACCCCTTTGCTCATCACTCCTCTCTCTTTGCAACTGGGTTCCAGGAGTTCAGTTCAGTGTTTAGCTGTGGGTGTCTGCCTCTGCTTCCATCAATCACTGGATGAAGGTTCTAGGATGGCATATAAGGTAGTCCAATCTCATTATCAGGGTGTGGCATTTAAGGTATCCTCTCCACTATTGCTTAGTTTGCCAGTTAGTGTCATCCTTGTAGATCTCTGGAAATCTCACTAGTGTCACATCTCTCTGCAAACCTAAAATGACTCCTTCTATTATGGTATCTCTCTTCTGGCTCTTCTCTATTCTTACCCCGACTCAACCTTCCTACTCCCTCATGTCCTCCTCTCTCCTCCTCTTCTACCCCTCTCTTTTCCCCAGCTCCCTCTCCCCTCTGCTCAAGAGATCTTGCCCCATTCCCATTCTCTGGGGTACCATGCATATCTTTCTTAGGGTCCTTCCTGTTTCCCAGTGGGATTGTAGGCTGGTACTCCCCTGATCCATGTCTAAAATCCATATGAACACAGTGTTTTTAAAGGCAGAAACCATGTGCTGACATCTTTCTTGGCAGTTGAAAGGGGGCTTCGAAGAAGCCAAGATAAGCAGTTAGCTGGAGGGGGTGAGAAGTGGGGTTCTGCAGAAGCAAGCAGTTTAACAGAATCTAAGCTAAGTGAGCTAGGTTATCCTGACCTTAGATTCCTAGAATAGAGTTTGGTTGTTTTCAGTGGAATATTCTCCATCAAGGATATCAAATTCTAACTAGATGTGAAATGACCTCAGCAGGAATACAAGATGGAGGAACCACTACACTGCCTTTCCCCATCACAGAATGAAGATCCCAATAGAAGAATCTAATTTGCTTTTGTATTTTCATGTATTTAGGCATTTGTTACATAACAATAAAAGCATCAGGATTAAATGATCAAATAGTTATTGTTGTGTTTCTTGACCTTCTTAGATAAGTAAATAAAAGTTCATGTTTGTGTTTCTAGGACAGCCTGAATAGGAACAGAAATATTATACTTGTTAAAATTTTGTTTTTCAGAATCTTAACTGATGGTCAGTTTTTTCTCCCACTTTTATCACAAAACACATTATAAATATTATAATTTAATAAATAAATAATAATAATACATGGCATTATTAATTGAGCTCAAACTTTAAACAGACTGAGGTATATAAAGATAACGCTTTGAGAAAAACCAATAGTGTGCTGAATTTCATTGCCGCCAGTTAATTATGGTCAACTGATACATTTTCAGGAATTTTGTGAAGTGATGAACATCACATTTGTTGCTGGAAATTGGCCATGATAGAAGCTATGTATACCATGGAAACTACCACTATATTTTTATTACTATTTTGTTTTGTTTTCCTTTCCCAGGAAGCCAGTTGTGAAACACTTAACAGCACCCCATTATCAGAAACCTGCTAGTAGGTCAGATGCTTGCATGTGTTATATTAGAAGCGAGAAATTCGAGGCAGCCTACAGCTGCTGTACAGTTGTTTAGTGCAGATGCAGACCATCCACCACACTGTGCAGCTCTCTCTCTAAACACAGACCATCCACCATACCAGATCTCTCTTTTTGCAAAGTTCAGAATGTGAGGTTTCAGGATTCTAGTGCTTTGTAAAACTGCATTAGCTGTACAAAATGCCTACAGAGAGAGCTGATTCTCCAGACTCGGGTTCACAGGGTTTGTTTCCCTTTTAAAGCTGAGTTAAAGGAAAGGACCAGAAAGAAGACATGGAAGTGCAGTTGTTTGCATTTCCTCCCCAGTTACTGGACTTGTTGTTTTTCTTCTTATCAGTCTGCCCCCAATCTTCTTCAGTTTTCATATGTGAGTCTCATGGCTAAATGAAGCTTTGGTGTTATGTTTGTGTCATGAGTCGGGAATAAACTTATTCTTAAAAACAAATAAATGAACAGACCCAAGATTTAGTATAAGGAAAAAAAAATCCTGTGAGGTAATGTAAATGACAATCCAAAGTTAAAAACAAAACACTATTAGTTTTGTTGTAGAAATAAAGAGAGAAAGAGAGAGGGCTTATACTATTTTCAAAAGGTACCATAGTCAATATGGGAAGATGTCTGTGCATTAATTCTTTTAAGAACAATACAATACTGCTATCTGTTAGGCCCCAATCCTGGGCAGAGGGGGAGGAGGACAGGGGTGTGAGGGAGAGTGGTGGAGGATCGGTGACATTGTCTAGAATGATAGTCTGGCCTCAACTAATGCTGGGCAGGACTATAGAAGAATTGCTGGCAGACAGCTGAAAGCTCACAGGCAGCAGAAACCTGCAGAACAGGTTGATCTGCCCAGAAGAGCCCCTTTGCTCATCTCTTCCAACCTCAAGCAAATGGGGCATCTGGCTCCTTGTTGGAGCTCCACATTAACCTCCAGGCTCCTGTATTCCTATTAACAGGTACCTGCGATGCAGCCCACTACGCCACTCCCCACTCCCTGCCTGCCCAGGCAGTGCCCACTGCCCTTCCCAATCCCCACCATCACCAACAGTTCCAGCTTTCTGTTTCTTCTCTCTGTGGCTTCCAGTTCTCCTTTAAAAACCAGCAAGGCTTCTCTCCCCTGCTCTGCTTCTTTCAGCCCCAGAGAGGTAACCATGGCAGTTTTGGACTCCGCTAAATACCTCCAGCTATTTTCCCTCCAACCTAGAGAGAGCCACATGGCATTGTGATAGCCTCGGTTTCACTGTGCCCTCCCTTATAGCATCTTAGTTTCTTTCCCTGTGCCTGTAATAAACTACTTAGACAAAAGGAATTTAAAGAACAAAAGGCTTGCCGAAGGTGGCCAAATATGCTTTTAATCCTAGTACTCAGGAGGCATGGTCAGGCAGATTTCTGAGTTCCATACCAGCCAAATCTACAGAGCTCCAGGACAGCCAGGGATACACAGAGAAACTCTGTCTTGACAAGCAAAACAAAACAAAACAACATCAAATTGAAAAGGTTTTATTTGGGCTCAAGTTCATTTTTCTCATAAGGAAGTCCTGGTCACAGGAACTTTGGTCAAGTTGTACCCACCATCAGGAAACAGAGAACAATAAATGGTTGTGCTCAGTTCACTTTCTTCTTGATGCACAGCCTAGAATCCCAACCCAATGAATGTTGCAACCTGCAGTGTATGACTCTTCCACTTCAATTCATTTAATGGCTAGAACCTCAAAGTGATGCCTAGAGGCGCCTCCCACAGATGTTTCTAGATCAAAGCAATTTGATAAGCTTGCTAAATTCCTGGCTTTGTGCTCCATGGGAAACACTGCCTTCTCTCATGAAGCTCACAATGTAGTGAGAAACCAAGAGTGAAACAGGGATTCTGATAGATGAGTAGGTATACAACCAGTGGTGCTGTGACCATTCAAAGTGCAGTGGACCATCTGCATCACTTAGTCACCTAGAAATGTGACATTCTTAACTTCAGATGACCTCAAGAGCAGTTCTTTGAGAATAAATTCTGATTGTACTACATAAAACTGGGGAATTTGTTGGAAGACTAGACAGATTATAGAAGTAACACACACACATACACACACCAGTTTGCAACAAAAAAAAAAGGGAAAAACAAATCTGAGAGTCCAGCTGCAGTATATTGTAGTCATTTTTGTAAAGCTTCCCTGTCACTCATCTTTCATAACTCCCATGGGCCTTTTATCCTCTTTTGATCAGTGAGGCCATCATTAGCAGAAGTACAAATATTTTATACTGTTATTTTATTTCTTAATTATTTATTCTATGTGTCTTTTACATTAAGTATCTTGTTCCCATTTATTTCCCCATCCTTTCTCATCTGCCCTTCGCCCCTGCACACCTCCCAAATCAAACACAATTTAAGAGAGAAAAAAAGGAAAAATAAAATAATAAATTAAATTAAAAAGGGAAACACTTAAAAAATCTCATCATGGAAGCTGCAATGTGACACAGTGAGTCATGCTGGGAACCCCTTTGTCCATGTGTCTGTCTCACTAAAACCAAAAAGAAATGTGCAGAATACTTAAAAGGCCGAGTACGTCACAGGAAAGTTGAATGCTGCGGTAATAATCTAGGGCGTATTTCTCAAAAATTTAAAAGTTTTAAAAGTTCCATAGTATCACATTAAGGAGTAAGTCACTTTGAATGTATGTCCTATAGTTAGTGTAAGCTTTTTATTTCAGGAAAACCCTATGTGCTACGCTTTTCTATAAACAGATGACACACAGTTGGATCAACTCACCAATGTGCTACGCTTTTCTATAAACAGATGACACACAGTTGGATCAACTCACCAATGGCCTTTGATGCTTATATACTACAAGAGTCCAACCTAAATCTTCTTCCCAAGTTACTCGAAAATGCATTGTAAGGTGTGACAGAGCAAGACGCTACAAAGGTTCTTCCATTTTAGGCTTGACTAGAATCCGATTGCCTTGATGAGAAGCTCTGTGGAAAATTACCCAACTCTATTCTAGGAGCCTGAGGTCAGGATGCCCAAGCCAATTTAGCTTATGTTATACTGTATGCTTGCAAAGAACCCCCTCCAGCTAACTGCTTATCTTAGCTTCTGTTAAACAGCAGCTGTTGAGATGCCAGGGTGTGATTTTTTTTTCCCTTTAAAAACTCTACACTTCGGACACTTGGTGCTATTCTTAATCCCTAGGGAGTAACTTCAGCCAGGTAATGCTTTTCTAAAAAAGACTCCATTTGCATAGGAAATAAGATGAGCAGTTGACAAATGGAATCTCATGAAGGTAGAAAGCTTCTGTGTAGCAAGGGAAACTGTCAGTCAAATAAGAGACAGCCCACAGAATGGGAGGAAACCTTTACTAGTTACACATTCTGATAGAGGATTATTATCCAGAACTAAAGCACTGAACACCAAGAAAATTAATTACCCAATTAAAAATGGGAGCTACAGAACCAAACAGAACATCCCTAAAAGAAGAAATACATATGGCTAGGAAATATTTTTTAAAATGCTAAACCTCCTTAGTCATGAGAAAAATGCTATTAAAACAACTTTAAGATTCCATCTCACCCCAGTCAGAATGGATACTAAGAGTACTGTAACGAGAAGTACGGGTATGGACGTGGGAAAGGAGGATCTTACACAGTGTTGGTGGAACTGAAAACTGGTACAACCACGTTGGAAATCAGTTAGAAGATTTATCAAAAAACGATAGTTCACACAATCCAGCTATTCCTGGGCATCTACTCAAAGAACTCTATGTCCTCTGTCAGGGATAATCATGTCTATGCTTACCTTATTCACAGTACTAATAGATGCAGCTTAAATGCTGGTGAAAGAATAATGAAGATGTGGTCCCTATGCCCACTGTTGTATTCCTCATCTGTAAAGAGAAACTAAATTATGAACATTTCAGGGTTATAAAAAGAAATGGAAAGAATATTTTAAGTGAGGTAACTGACCCACCCCCCCAAAGGATAAATGCTACATGCTCCTATGAGAATGCTAGCTTCAGCTCTTTACTGTGGTGTGAAAGCTAAGAAACAAGGAAGGAAATAGGTTAGTATTAGGGAGACTAGACAGTAGAATACAGGTAAAAATGTAGAGGAATATTGTGGCCAGAAAAGTTTAGGCAGGGGAAGGACTAGGCAAATGGGAAGAATTCTCACAGAACAAAATTAATGGACAAGAATACATGGACGACATTTGTGGTGATGATGGACATGGGTGGCGAAGAGATGGGAAGTGAGAGTTGTCAGCATGCCAAGTGTGCATAGATGAAATTGTAAAAAGCAGTAACAAAACCTATTTTTAAAAATCAAAAGCCACTAGGGAAGGAGGAGGAGTAGACCAGAAATTGGATACCTGGTAATGTCTGCTCTGAGCTAGTTGTTCATGTTATTCCATGAAATCTTCAGATACGTATTTCTCAAACTATTTTCAAATTTATTTCTAATGAACTTGTGAAATACTAGGTTTCATCCTAACATCCTCAAAGTTAATTACTCCTAGGCCTGGATAATACTCCTTCCAGAAGCCATGGATAGTAAAACAAAATCCCCAGTTCAGGAGTAAGCTACTCCCTTACAAGTTGTTAGTTAAGGACTAATAACAGCAGCCCCAAACATCACAGCCTAAAGCCATTGCCCACCAGAATTTAAGGGAAGACCCTATTGATATAAAACATCTTGGGTCAGGCATTGGTGGCACACACCCTTAATCCCAGCACTCGGGAGGCAGATGCAGGCAGATCTCTGTGAGTTCAAGACCAGTCTGGGTCTATAACAGTTAGTTCCAGGACAGCCTCCAAAGCCACAGAGAAACCCTGTCTCGAAAAACAAAAACAAAAATCACCTTGGTCACAAGATGTGAAGAAAACCTCTATTATCAGCACTCAGTGTCTCAGCTTTTGAGAAATGAGGACAGAGGGAAACCAGAAATTGACTTTGAATGTGAACACACGCTTTTTTGCTTTGGGGCCTTTTGCCTAAGGATGTGTGGAGGATGTGCACTTGGCCAGACCACATGATCCCTAGTCTCGTTGACACAACTAAATTAGGATCAGAGGTGCCAACTACAAAGAAGGGAAGAGAGTCCCAAAAGCTTTTGTAATGCTTCATCTATTTCCACAAATAAGGATAGGCAAGAAATCCTTATTCACAGAACAGCTTGTCAGAGTAAGAACTGCATTGCAGCAACTGTAAGCTAGCCAAGGAGATAGAAATGTCACAGAAATATTGTAAGAAAAATATAATCCAGTTCACAAGCTGCCTCCTAGAGATAATGTTATTAGCAATGAATTCTTCACTGCTGGCAGAGCCTGAGGCCCTGTTTATGTATTATCAGGAGGGAACAGTGTGAATAAGTAATGGTCAGCCACCTTGCCTATGCAATGTCAATCCCATAGGCATCTTTTCCACTTCTATTTTTATCAAAGATTATTTTTTGCTGCTTTTGTGTGTGTGTGTGTGTGTGTGTGTGCGTGTGTGTGTGTGTGTGTGTGTGTGCTTGAAACATTGCTTCACCCCACTCCAGGCTGATGTGAAATTTACTATAACAAGGCTTAGCTAGAGTGCTAGGTTAACAGGCTTGCCTCACCATACTTGGCTTCTCTTCATATTTGGATGCTTGAACTCACTTTAAATATTATCCAGGACTTAGTAATTAAAATATTCATATTAGCTCAAATTACCCCCTCAATTATCACTTCCTGGATATAAATAATAGACATATCAACTATCTTGCTACATTTCTCATGTAAGACAGATGACAAACTCCTACCTCTCGTCTCCAGAGGGAGGCTCATATTTTGGTACTCAAAGTTTTTGGCTTATAAAAATTTTAATATACAACACTTTTCTATTTTTGCATCTGTGAGAACTGAGGGGAGGAGACAGAAGGGTTATTCAGGACCTCTATGCCTTGCCTGCTAAATTGATTCAAGGACATCTGAGAGGTTCAGTCGTCAAGAAAACTTGGCACATGGACATCACTATGAGTTTTCTGATTCTATCTTTTAAGAGTCACAGAGTTTTTACCACAATGTCTACCTCAAAGGTCTTCATGTGTAGCCTACTGGCTCTAGCTGGAAACTCATTAGTTAACCTGACTCATCAGAGTTCCTTTCTGTTAAATTTAGATAAAACAAGATGGAGGGGATGCTAGGAAAACTACCCGTTCTCCCATTTACCAATATGAAATAGATTTCCTAAGTCAGGAACTTCAGGTAGTCTGAAATCTGGGTAAGTGAGAGCTAGGAAATTCTACATGGAACAAAGCCAGACCAATGTAGTGAATAAGGGAGAGGGAGAGAGAGAGAGACCGAGAGAGAGACCATCACGTTCCCACACAGTTCTTATGCACAGCTCATCTCCAGCTATTCTTGGGCTTGCTCCAATTCTCTTTCTGTGGTACAGAGCACCTCTCTCTGTTTCTATTCCTTATTCACTATGTTCTCTCTCTCTCTCTCTCTCTCTCTCTCTCTCTCTCTCTCTCTCTCTCTCTCTCTGTCTCTCTCTCTCTCCTTTCTTTCTCTCTTTCTTCCTTTTTATAATAATTTTTTTTTTTGGTTTTTCGAGACAGGGTTTCCCTGTATTGTTTTGGAGACTGTCCTGGAACTCACTCTGTAGACCAGGCTGGCCTCGAACTCACAGAGATCCGCCTGCCTCTGCCTCCCGAGTGCTGGGATTAAAGGCGTGCGCCACCACCGCCCGGCCCTTTTTATAATAATTTTTTATTTACCTTTTTACACGTTACTCCCAGTTCCGCCTCCCTCCCCTCTTCCCCTGCCCTCCCAACCCCTCCAGCCCCCCCCCCCGCCCCAATCCATCCCCCCTCTGCTCCCCAGGGAGGGTAAGGCCTTCTAAGAGGGATTTTCAGAGTCTGTCATATCATCCCGGGCAGGACCTAGGTCCTCCCCGATGTGTCCAGGCTGAGAGAGCATCCCTCCATGTCGAATGGGCTCCCAGAGTCCATTTGTATGCCAGGAATAAATAGTGATCTACTCTCCAAGGTCCAGTAGATTGCGGAGGCTTCCTCTTTGACACACACATTCAGGGGCCCCACTTTTGAAATCCTTCCCAGCATCAAAGGATCATGAAAAAAGCCCAGGAAATGACTCAGGACTCCCCAGATCCTATTGGGTTTGTCTGAATTTTTACAGCACAGATGATCCAGCCAGCTTTCCTTTCCCCTAAAGCTGGTGTCACAAAATTAGATATTTTGCTTCCTGTGGGGATTCTGGAGGGAGCCTACCACCAAGGATGCGTGGGGTGGGGACGACTCTGCAACGGAAGTACTGGTTGAACTCATTTCTGAAGGGGATCTTGAGGTGGGTTAAGAAACAGGTTTTCTTGGTAAAAACTTTGAAACAATGGAGGCAAAGGGTCTGTCCTCTTGAGCTCATTACTAGACCATAGTTGGATCTGGTATCTGGTATCTGTTATCTGCAGTTACCTGCCATAATCCTGGCCTCTGGTTTAAGTCCCCCAAGCAACCAAAGAAATCAGGCTGTTCCTTTGAGCGCCTCCAACTGCCAGGTTCCACCCACAGAACACTGTAACTGCCCTAATGGCTGGACTCTGCCCCCGCCCTACAGAGTAAAAAGCCGGATCTCTGAACTAGAAATCCCACCAATCTCCACCCTGGAAAGCTTTCCTATGAAAAGGTCCACCCCCTTCTCTAAGAAACTCTATAAAAGTCCCGGTTTCTACTCAGCTTCCTTCTGTTTCTTGCCTGAGCAGGGGCAACCGCCCTGCTGATGTTTGCCCTCCCAATGAATCTCTTTTGTGAGATATTGTGCTGTGTGACCTTGTGGTATTCCCTGGCTCCTGACTGCCTGGATATCTTTCCATCCGAGTTGCTGCAATGCTACAGCTGGTCCCCGAATCACTTTGGTTTAGCTGGTCCCCGAATCACTTTGGTTTGCCTGAGTATGGGGGATTGGGATCCAAGTGTTATAGGCGGGGCATTCATGGTATGCTCCTGGTTGCAGCCACTGGCTTCCTGTTTTGGTGTACCTTCAGGTGGCATTTGAGCTTAGAGGGATCCTGGAAGCACTTTTTACACTCAAGGAGGGGCTTGTATCCTAAATAAGCACATCAGAGCCGGCTCAATCCAGAAGCATCATTGTAAATCTTGCCACAAATTGCAAGAGAAAGACCTCTCTCTCCACGGTGCTGGGGCTTGTAGCCATTATGGAACCATTTGAAAGATTAGATTTCTCCTTTTTTTTTTTTTTTACATTTTTAACCTTGAAGGTATAACATGCAAACTTACTTTAGAATTCTCATGTATTCCAGATATGCTGCTGAAAAAAATCAGAATGGTCTTTTTGTAAACAGCTTGTGTAAGTGTGTTGTAATATGCATTAAAAATTAAACATTGAAAGATCAGTAATAAAAACTACAAATCAGTAATTATCATGCTAAATCAGAATTTTGTCAGTCGTGAAGGCATGCTAACAAGGACTTTGGTGCAAAATGTGTAATTAGTATCATTGAAATGACGTTAACAATTGAAAAAAATCTACCTCTGCCCAACAGCTACTGCTCATGGTATAGATGTCAATTATGGTGATACACACTTCTTGCATATTGCAGTTGTCACAAGTAAAATCTTGCTTTCGTCATGGACTTCTACACAGTTTTATCTGTCAAGTAGTACTTTTCTCTATGCGTGCCTTTAGCCTTTTTTTAAAAATCACTTATCCAGTAAGAGCTTTCTTCTTCTCACAGAGAAATACTGGATATCCACAATTCATCAGTAATCTTATTGAGGTCATACTATAAGGGAAAAATGGGCAGTTTGGAGAATAAAATAATTAGATTCAAAGCAAGATAGTAAATAGTGAACTAAAACTTCAGACAGAGCAAGATCCTGCAGTATCTAGTCACATTTTCCCTGTCTTAGCCTATCCCTTAATCAATCAAATCATGCTGACTTACTTTCAGTTCAAATTTTGCCAAGCTACAGGGCAATATGGAGGGTTGCCTTATAACCTTTTACAGTGTGGATTATTTTCCCATTAATTTACTTATCTCACTCCAATACATCTACCTTTCTGCCAATATTTTCTTAAGAAAACTTTTCCTAACACCCCAAATTAGGCAAGATTTCCCACTGTATATCCTCTCCATCCTATTGTTTGATGTTGAGTTTTAGGTGTCATAGTAGAGAGAAGCTCACCAAGATGCTAAGCCTTCATTTTCTGAAGAAGGAGAGAGGTATAGCCTTCTTGGAAAAGACTGACAACCAGCTAGCTCACTCCAATTACTTTATTCAATCATATACTAGCTCCAAACATATATAATTGGAGCTGGGAAAGGTTCCAACTATCAAAGCCATTTTGTTCTTGCTGCCCGTGAGAGCAGGCAACCCACACAAGTCTCAAGCACAATCAAAAGTAAGAGCTCCAGGGCTTCCAGGACTGTCTTAGGACCAAGGTCAATGCAGGTGCTAGATCCCACACAGCACCAAGTGCAGACTCTCCAGAAAAGCAACATTTCTTCAAGGTTTAAACAGTCTTAAAACAATTTCTCTACCTCTACAAATCAACCCAAACATATCAAAGGCTTTGCTGAAACATTTCTATCAAAGCCAGACACAGAGGCTTTACTATCCATTTCACTTAAAGCCAGGCATGAGGGCTTTACTTACATATCACTATATCACCCCCATATTTTTCCTCTCCTCATAGTATTTAAAACAGTATAATTAAACAACACTCTATGTGATTATGAATTTAATATGTATCTTCCCTAAGCATTCTTAGGTCACCCAATATATGGTTGGTGAATCAAAAATATAAAGGCACTGTGCATATTGATGTACCTTCTTGTTCCAATGAAAGCTTTTGAAATTTTGTTTTGCTTTGTTTTTAGGCAATATAATGTCCAGTGTAGACTCACTGAAGAGACTGCTCCTGTCTGGAAAACTGAGACCAATATTATCACTTGAGGTTTGTCAATAGGAACTTTGCAGCATACAGTTCAACCTCTTCCTCTTTCCTTTTCTAGAGATGTTAGAGACCTAGAAAGTTTCATTCTCAGAGTACCAGTCAAAAGTCTCTCTTCCCCTGATGCTTCTCCATGGGAAATGAAATGCATCCCCCTTCCCTCACTAATCCCTTTGCCCCTAAGTTGGATGGTTGCTGCATTGCACAGGAGACTGGCCCACCAAGTGCCTCTGGCCAGCCAAGCCGCACAGTTTGCAAGTCAAGCAGGGAGCTCCAGAGATGCAGCTTTTGTGAAAGTCATCACTTTGGTGATACAGCTGCCTTTAAACCCCCAGCGCTCCTGTAAATAGCTTCTGTCCTCATTCCTGTAAATAACCCCCATAAGCTCACTGATTCACTTAGCTAGGCTGCTTTGGAACCATTTCTCTAGCCTGTCATTCATGCTTTGTCTAGGATGAATATATGTTTCTTCACATTTCCCCAGGAAAAGTTTCACAACAGGAGTAAAGTGTGGCTTGAGAAAATTAGATTTACAGAAATGAGATAATTCTAGGCAACCAGATTATGAAACAATAAGGCTATAAGTCAACGTACTGAACGCTTTCTGGACAAAACACTGCCCTGCAGAGGTGTAGAACTTTTCTCTATCTTGTACAACAACCCTAATGGGGAGGTTAAAACAAAACTATTAGATTAATACAAAGTAGTGATTTTTCCAGATGTGGGAGATGACCAGGTTCATGTGGTCCACATCTTGTTTCTAGAGTTTGAATCAACTTTAAGGCCCTGATCAACTCCTGAAAAACCTCAGTATACCCCCCCCCCTTTTGAGACTCAGAAGGTTGCTTCAGTGAAAAATTCCCCAAGTTCCCCTAGGCAAGGAACAAGGTCAGATTAAAAAGAACATCTAGTCCAGAGTGCTGATACGGAAAGCCGGCAGGCTGTAGAGATAAGTTTAATTTTGACCTTGTGGTTTCTCCAGGAAGGATGACTTATGCCCACGCTTCTTACAATATATCCCTATTGCTTGCCCAGATCTGCACCTGCAGTGGCTCCACTTCTTACAATACCTCTATTGCTTTGCTTGACAAAAGTATGTATATAAAAAGAAAACTGTCCTGAAGCCCGCCACGTTCAGCTAGCTAAGGCTGCTGAATCGCCCACAGACGCCTGTGTAAACAACAAACCTCAACTTAAAAAAAATTAATAATAAAAAAACAAAAAACAATAACAACAACAAAAAAACCCCAATAAACCTCTTGTGGTTTGCATCCAACTGTCTGGTTATTGAGCTCAGGACCTCATGGGATATTCTGCCTGATTACTTCAGGTCTTTCACTCCGAGCCTGCACCTTGTTCCTACAGCAGTGTCCCCAGCAACAGGGCCACTTATCTGACTCTTACACAGAGATGTTGTCAGTTTCACCTGCCTCATAGGCCTCTTTATAGCTCCTTACACTCTGATGCAGCCTCTTTAATCTTTTGTAGTCTTTCTGCAACCTCTATTCATTTCTACTTATAGATTCACATACCGGGTGATGAGTATGAGTAATGTGTGATCATGACAGACATATTTTCTTCAAGTTTGAGATGATCTTTTATAATCTTCCTTTGAGACAGATTCTCATATAGCTCAGTTTGGCCTTTACATTTCTATGTAGCTGAGAATCACCTTGGATTTCTGATCATTCTGATCCATTTCCCAAAAATGTAAATTATAGTTTGCCCAGTTTGAGGTGCTGGAGATGAAACCCAGTACTTCATGCATGTGAGGCAAACACCTTCCCCTTCCCAACTGGACCTCATACCAATCCCCTACACAATTACAAAATCAACTGTAAGTGATGCTAAAAAAATTGCATCAAGAAGACTTAGCTGAAGTGATTCTTAGGTGTGTTGAGCCTTGGCCTCCTTCTGGTGATATGAGGAATATTTGTCTCCTTTGTTTCATCCCTCTTCCATAGCCAAGTTGACAATTACCAAGTAAAATTTGGCCAGACATGATCATATAAATTATCTTACAATAGTTCTCCAAATTATTCCTATGGAATGAAGTAAAGATAAAGCAAGCAAACAAATAAATATTCTCCACAGTCAAAAGTTACTAGGTCATACCACTCATATCTTTTAGAAATGTTTAGAAGAATTAATTTTGTTATATGGTAAAAAAATGACTAAAACCTAAGCTTTTTTGCTGGTTTATTTTTTGTTTGTTTGTTTGTTTTCAAGACAGGGTTTCTCTGTATTGATTTGGAAGTTGTCCTGGCACTTTCTCTGTGAACCGGGCTGACCTCGAACTCACAGAGATCCGCCTGCCTCTGCCTCCCGAGTGCTGGGAATAAAAGCATGCGCCACCAATGCCTGGCTAAAGTTAAGCTTTTTTATTTTAATTTTTTTCATTGTGTGTGCGTGTGTGAGTGAGTGTGAGAGAGAGAGAGAGAGAGAGAGAGAGAGAGAGAGAGAGAGAGAGAGAGAGAGAGAGAGAGAGAGAGAGATCCTGGAATTTGGAATTGAGGCCAACAACTGACAAGTGGAACCTCACAAAATTAAAAATCTTGGTGGGTGGTGGTAGCCTTTAATCCCAGCACTCAGGGAGGTGGAGGCAGGCGGATCTCTGAGAGTTCAAGGTCAGCCTGGACTACAGAGTGAGGTCCAGGACAGCCAGAGATACACAGAGAAAGTCTGTCTCAAAAAACAAACAAACAAGCAATTAAAAAAACTTCTGCACAAATAACAAAACATTCAGCTGAGTGATTTGGGAATCTTCAAAGCAGGAAATCTTTGCAAGCTATATGTCTGTCAGAGGAATAATATCCAGAATAAATAAAGAACTAAAAAAAAATCAATTCAAAGAATTATCCAGGTATCTAAAAACAGAGAGTTCTCAAAAGAAGAAATATAGTAGCTAAGAAATATCACAAAAAATGTTCATCATCTTTAACAATTGGGCAAATTTAAATAAAAACACTGTTGGTGCCTGGTGGTGAACATGGTATTGGAGGCAGCTTAAATCTGAATTCATAGGCCACAATCTCTCATTTGTAGCTCTAGAACAAACTATATTATTCTCATTGAAAACAAACAAAAAAGAATGATCTACTATGTTCTTTGCCTCATAGAGAACACAAAAAGGATGCTATATCAAATTTACTCGCATAGTCATTCCTCTTTTTACCTAAAATGTGGATATAAATATGTATTTTATACTATATAAAATCTTAATATATTTTCCTTTGCCTCAAAGATAACATAAAATAGATGTTATGTCAAATTTACTTATATGTTCATTCCTACTTTTATCTAAAATGTGAATATAAATATGTATTTTATAATATGTAAAATATTAATATATTCTGTTTGACCCAACATACCTGGAATGTTCTCACATCAGTGTATAATCAATAAAGACATAATTTTGTGAGAGGTTTTACTTTTTCATTTTATTTCTTACGTTTTTGTAGTGAGATTTTTTAAAATAGCACTTCAGGAAAGGCACAAAACATAACAATATGGATAATAAATATCCTGATATGTCTGATAATTTATTAATTATGTTTATTTGTATTTTTTACTTATATATCAATTGCCAATGAATTGAAAACCCAAACACGCAGCAGTGATTAAATTTAGCATTTTTCATTCATTTAAACTACTGTTTTACATACATATTTTCCAGGTTTGTTGCTGTGATGATATATGATGTGTGGGACTATTTGCTTCATGTGTCTACTTGCCCTGAGCCCTATAGATGGAAAAGCGTGGCCTGTTTACTTTTTCTACATCATATGACAAAGATGCATTTGGAGGAAACAATTCTTCGGAGTCACAGAGTCCCTCTACCCATGTGAGCACCAAATCCTGGATTTTCTTATCCTGAATACCTTTCCACAGTCCCTCCATGATTCTCTTCAAGTTTTTACTAATGTAATGCTGAGGATGGAGACCAGGCTTACACATATGATAGGCGAATACTCTACCTCTGTGTAACAACCCCAGTGTTTTGTTTTGTTTTGAGACAGGGTCTTACAAAGTCACCAAGTATTCGAAGACAGAATGAGGAAGTTTAGCGAGGTGAGGAATAATTAGCAACTGGTATGCTGAGGCTTCTTATGCTGAGTTTTGGTTTATATCTTCATTTTACTGCTGTTTTCAGGTATGAGGTGGACCGGGAGAAAAGGGTTTTAAGAAAACCATCTTAATGTGAGCAAGGAATAGAAAACAGCAATTCAGTTACTCCACTTTTTGTGAGGCAAAAACGGAGAGCATGGGCAAGAGAGAGTGAGGAGGCCTTGGATTTCAGGTTAGAGATTTAATATTTTATTTTGATGGCTGTGCTATTTTTAAAAAAAAGAAGTGAAAAACCAATTAGTTTTACCATTTATGAAATGTTGTTCATTTGTTTTCAAGAACAAACTTCATTTCCCCTTGTAGAACTAGGAGGAGCGATAAATAGTACAACCCACACATTCTAATGATAAACTCTTGTTCCCACACTCTCCTATTGCTTTCTTTTGCTAGGAGGAAGCACTAATCCCCCAGCAGGCTGCTCAACGGGGGCACCAAGGTCACTGGAGGACTGGTAGATTAGTTCCACTTGGCCACATGGGAACTGAGGATGGCTATGCTATTATTTTACACTAAGGACAAGGCATTCTTTTCACCATTCATATACAATACTTTACTAGAGACATTGCTTATATGGTTTTTTTTGAGGGCCTTACTGCTGCCAAAGCTAGGCTCACACTCATGATCTCCCCACCTCAGCCTTCTGCATGCTGGAATCACAAGTATGTACCTGCCAATTGGTTGATTCCTTGTTTGGAAAGCAAAGGATTATATACTGGACTTTGGATGCAACTGGACGGTAAGAGTGCTTGTCTAACATATAGGAATACCTGAGTTCAAGCCCCAGTACTACAGGAACCAGGAATAATGGCAAACAAAACAGAGCAATGCAAAAGAAGTCCTTTTAAAACATGTATGATGCCATGTCCTTTTGTAGTGACTTGTCACTACAAAAAAAAACTTAGAATGAAAATATTAATTCTTAAAATATTCTGGAAGGGATTACACAACATGATTCTCTTTCTTTTTCTGTTACCTTTTGTCTTAGTCAGAGTTACTACTGCTGTGATGAAACGTCATGACCAAAAGAACTTGGGAATGAAAGGGTTTACATGGTTCTTGTTTCTACATCACTGTTCATCATCAAGGGAAGTCAGGACAGGATCTCAAACAGGGCAAGAACCTGCAGGCAGAGCTGATGCAGAGACCATGGATGCTGCTTACTGGCTTGTTCCTCATGACTTGCTCAGCCTGCTTTCTTATAAAACTCAAGACCACCAGTCCGGGATGGCACCACCCACAATGGGCTTGCCCTTCTCCCATTAATCACTAATTAAGAAAATGTTCTACAAGTTTGCTTATAATATGATTTTTCTAGGGGCATTTTATCAACTGAGGTTCTCTTCTCTCTGATGACTGTAGCATGTGTCAAATTGACATAAAGTTAGAAAGCTCACCTTTCTGAGTCTTTTTAGTTCAATCTCATTCTTACTCTTCTTTAATTATAAGAGCATCTGTGCTGTACCTCTATAACAGTCACCATGGGGCTATCTCAGGACATTTGCACTTGCCAGTTCTTCTATCTAAAAATACTTCTTCTGTAGATACCTATTTAGTGTACTCTCAACTCCTTCTAATCTTTACTTAATTCTCTTGTCAACAAGGCTGCCCTAATCACTCTGTTTAAAAGACTTTCTAACACAGCGTGCACCTGCTCTTTCACATTCATTTCTAACTATATGACCATTTGTATGTGTGTGTATACATGTGTGCATGGTATATATATATATATATTACATATTATATATGGTGTGTTTTGCACATTTATGTTTGTATGCACACTTTTACATGTATACATGATGTATACATACATGTGTGTGTAGAGACTAGGACAACCTTGACTGTCAATTCTTAGGATCTGTCTTTCCTTTCTTTCTGTGTTTTATAATTTCTTTCTTTTTCTTTGTTTTTGTTTTTTGGCAATGTCTCTCTAAAGTCTCTCTCTCTCTCTCTCTTTCTCTCTCTCTCTCTCTCTCTCTCTCTCTCTCTCTCTCTCTCTCTCTCTCTCTCTCTCTCCCTCTCTCTGTCTGTCTGAGACTCACCAAGTAAACTATGCTGGCTGACCTGTGAACACCCAGAGATCTGCCTGCCTGGCTATATATTTTTTCTTTCTATTAATTGTTCTCTCATACAATACACCCGGACCTCAGCTTCCCCTCCTTTTACTCCTTCCAACCCTTCCCCCAATCTTCCTTCTCCCCTAGATCCAGTGATTCTCTGTTTCCCTTTAGGAAAGAGCAGGCCTCCCAGTGATGTCAACTGAACACATCATGAAAAGATGACAAGGTAAGACTATGTGCAATCCCTCATATCAAGGCTGGACAACTAGTTTGATAATTCTGTCCTTTGCTAATGAAACCATTTAAAATCTTAAATGTACCTGTTAGCACTACTTTAATGGCCTTGCAATAATTTCCATTTATTGTTTTCCACCTAATGCTTTTGAAAAATATTTTCCGTAAGACTTCCTCTATTTTGATAGATTGACTATATCAGTTCTTTTAAATTAATTAAAAATTTTTTGCCCATGTCATGCATGCATGCAATATTGTGATGGTGTTTTCCCATCCCTGATACTTTATCTTACTGCCTCCTACTGACCCTACTTATCTTTCTTCTGTTTTCCTGTGTCATGCAAGTAGTCACAGTTGCCTTGTGACTGTGCTGCAATGACCGTGACATAAGCAGAAGGCAGCATTTCATAGAGCCCCTCTTTCATTTAGGGCTGAGTACTCAACAGTTACTCAGTTTTCTGCACCTGGACCAGTTATGTGTCCCTGCTTCAACTGCAAAAAGATTTCTCTAGCCAAGACTGAGAGGAGTACTAGTCTAGTATAAAAGCAAATATTTAGGAGGCAGCTTAATTATGTCTCCATTTAATAATACTTTAGTACTATATTCCCCCATAGGGACCATGGCACCCCAGCCATAAGTTTTTTTTAATCAGGTGTACAATATCAAGCATGTATTCTCTTGTGGAATAGGGCTCAAGTCCAATTATATCATTGTAGGTTACCTCTAGGACATTGAAGTGATGGTCTTCTAAGCAAGACCTAGGTTAAGGGGAGGTCTTTCTATTGCTAATACAACACAGTACATATATAAGATACAGATAATCAAGCTGGAACTGAGCCAGAAGCTTCCTACCAGCTGTCCAGTGTTTATAATGCTGGAAAGTCCAAGGCTGGCTGCTACGGGACAACAGTTATCAAGATTTTTTCCAGCTGTGGACTATGAATCCTATAATATTGTCTTCCCAGGTAATATATGCCCACTACTAAGACAGTCAAATGAACTTTAAAAAAATTACAAAATAGACACAAAACAAACACAAGAGAATTATGAAGGTCAGAGCAGGTATAAATGAAAATGACAGAAACTGAGTAAAGATAAAGGGGTTATTATCTAGAAAGAAAAATAAAAGTGACAAACTTGTAATAAGAATGGCAGATTTAGAAGAGAAAGATCAGGGATACAGTTCAGTTGTAGAACATGTGCCTAGAATGTGTGTGGCTGTTCTCCAGCACTGCAAAGACAGGGGGGGGACTAGAGGGGGGTGGGGTGGGGTAGCAACTAATCAGCAATACGGTAAAAACCAGGCAAATTTCTATACATTCTTTGTCCATTTTAATGATCACATGAAAGGAACATTGCTTAAAATAAAACAGCTTAGATGAAATGGAACAAATCCTTTCAAAACCACATATATGAACTGGATGGTTTGACCTAGCCAATAAATCTCAGAGAAAGTGAATCCTTAGTTTAAAGGCTTGAAAAAAAATCACCAACCTCAGGTTGATTTTACTGGAGAATCCCAACCAACAATCACCATTAAACTCTGTATAATAATCTTAGAGAAAATGGAAAGGCAGAGAATATTTCAAAGCCGGATCACAGTAAGATCTTAATGCTAACACCGCAAAGACAGTATGAAAAGGGGGAAGACTGATATGTGTCTCTCATAAATATATAGACCAATGTTCACAACAAAAAGCTAGCAACTGAATTTACACTCACACACATATACAGATACACACCTCATAAGGAAGTGACATATATTTTCCAGGGATGCAAGGCTGGAAAAAGTTAAGAAACTTTTTTCACGGCACAATAAACCAAAGCAGATTTCTAAAAGGCACTGGAGAGACAGTGTAAGGGTTAAAAGGGGAAAACAGGATTGAAACTGCATAGTAGTGATGGGCCTTGGGGTAATAGCTCGGCCCTGCTTCCAACCAGGGTTTCTGCTTCCAGGTTCTCTGTCGTATAAGGAGCCCAATCTGCAAATACCTGCCGCCATGAACGCTCATGTGACTTGTCTACCCTGATGGACTAGAATTAGAGCCGAGAGCCTTCTCTTTTAAGTTTCCTTTTTTCCTGGCAAGTTTCCTGCAGTAAGAACAGGAACTAATCCCACACCGCACAAATAGAAGCCTCTGAGTTAGCCATGCTTGTTTTGTTTGTTTGTTTGTTTGTTTAGTTGGCTGGTTGTTGTTTTTGTTTCTTTTTGGATCTGGTTTCCAAACTTCTATAAGCCTATTGCCAATTCATGCTGACTTTTTTTTCAACATGTGTTGGTATGTACCAACTTAATGAATATTTAAATTACTTTTGATTATCTTGTTGTTAGTGAATATTTTTGTTTCACTCATTCAATCCCAGAATACACAACATATTTATGTGTGGTTGCTGTGCTTGATGAACAAAGTGATATTATTTCAGTGCCAGCAGGTTTGTTCTGGGCACAATACTAGGGCATCTGGGTTGCTTTTTCTGCTGGCATGCTAAAACCCCAGAAAAGATGCAAACACAGGCAGGAACGGTTTATTTGGGCCCAGTTTGACGTTACAATTTATCTCAGCAGGAAGGTCACAGTGAAGGGAGCCTGAGAAAACTGTCCACATTGTGTTCTCATTCAAGAAGCAGAGCAAAACATGTTTATGTCCCGTTCAGTTTGTCTTTTTAAAATTATTTTTATTATTTTGTATTTATGTCTAAACACATGTCTGTGTGTGGGTATGTGCACTTGAGTGAACAGCATTAGATTTCCTGGTGCTGTGATGACAACTGGTTGAGAGCTACTTGAGGTGAGTGCTGGGAGCCAAACTCACGTCCTCTGCAAGAACAATAAACACTCCTGACCGATGAGCCATTTTATATAGTCCTAGAGCACAAACCTAGGCAATGGTGCCACCCATAGTGTGTAGTGAGACGAAAAGAGTCCAAGGCCTTCTGGATGTACTTGGAATAAGTAACCTGGGCCTGGGTGGCATCCAGTGATAATTGTGGCCCAGATGTGCCTCAGGAAGCTTTCTGGTTCTGCATGGATTAATCTTACAGCCAGAAAGTTTCTGTTTCCAGCTCCTTGTCCTTCCCACTGGACAACAGTGGATCAAGACAGAACATTCTCGCACTTGACTTCACTTTGTGTAGGTTCCAGGAATCCCAAGTTCCTTTCTACTCAGACAGGGATCAGAATGACTGATGCTTTGCCTTCTTCACATATCACTACATTGCACTTGTTCTTGAAACTGAAGTCTGCTCTTATCAAAGCAGTCTTTATGTATATTAGACATAGACTTATAGTCTCTGGGTCTTATTATTTTCTTTTATGTGTTATATGGAGATATGTGTGAACTTCTTTATTTATTGCACTCTTAGGAAACATTTATGTTCCAGGAGTCAAATAAAAAAGAAAACAACAGTAGAGGAGAGCAAAAGAGGGGCTTTACCATCTCGTCCCTTTCTTGTCCTTCCTGGTGTTTCCCATTGAAGTCTTCAGATGGCATCCTACCATTTCCAGCTCCTTAAGCTGTCCTATACTAAAGTGCAAAGTGCACTTTCTCCCCATTTATTTCAGCTTTGTGATTATTGTTTGAGTTGCCTACAAATGGGGCTTCACTTCCCACTTCTGGTTTCTAGGTCTGAGCTTCTTGGTTGCAGAGCTTGTATCTACTAATTTCTTTCCTGGGATGACTCAGTTCTGCTTTGGCTCTGGATAAAGGAGGGTCCAGAGCTGCTTTATGAAGAACTTGTGATGGTGACCACCTGTCACATCCCTGAGCACTCTAGCTCTGGGTTTCCATATGTAGTTCTGTTCTTAAGCCCAGATTGGAAAATGCGATTCAAAAGCAAATGACCCTCAGAGAACAAATTTAGATTAGATCTAAATTAGAAATAACTATTTGATTACTATGCTCTGAATGTGCCCCTCCACAATTCCCATTGAAACTTAGTCTCATTGCAACACTGCTAAGCACTGGGACCTTTCCATTTACAGCATCATGATGCCTTCTCATGAATGGGCACATTAGCAGCCTTGTTAAAGAAACTTTAGCTATTTACGTTGGAACCTTTTTGTAGTCTGCTCTAGAAAGACATGCCCTCATTTACTCTAGTGTATGTTGAGCATGAAACTTTCCTGATTCTTTGGAACATGGGGAAAGGCTAGGATTCAGTTAGCACCATAGATATTGATTGGCTACATACTTTACCTTCTCATACTCCCCATCCAAAATTCATATAAACTAGAGAGTAAGCACTAAAAATAGAAAGTACTTCTCTACAGGGAGTATTGCTCGCAACATCTTGAAGCTATTAAACCTATACAAACCAGGAGTGAGCACATCCACACAAAGCAGGAGTGAGCACCATGGTCAGGTCACTTGAAAGGTTCAGTCAAACTCCCACTTCTTTGCGGGGAGATAGGGTTGAGGAGGCTTACTCAAAACCTGTCTCCATTTCCAATTACCATCTTGAGGAATATTTATTCCAGTTATTATTCTACTTGATTCTCTTCTGTAATTAGAAATTGCAAAAAGTCTGTCCTGACATTTGCTATGAGCTGGAAACAAATCATGAACTATGAATGCATTTTGCCAACTATAAATCACACATGAACCAATTTATGCAGGGAATCAGATGTTGGATAGTCAGAGTGAGGTTTGGTTGCTATTCCAGGGCCCTGGGTAGTTGTCAGGGGTTTCACGGGTCTGAAAGATGTTGTCAGTGATCATGATGGTTGATCTTGTTTGCCAACATGATTAGATATGGAATGAACTAAGAATTGCAGTGCTGGGCAGGTCTGTGAGGGTATTCCCTGGAGGGGGAAATTTCTTACTACATGAAAGGGAAAGGAACTTTCTCAAAGTGAGCAGCACCTTCCAATGGTGCTCTGCATACAAACAAGTTCAAGGGAACAGTTGTTGCTTTGTGTTTGCATACTTTAGTCCATCACTAGTGAGTGTACATTCTGCCTCTCACACTGTCCTCTTCTGACATTAGCACCTAGTTAGTTACCTCAGCCTTCCAATGTGAACTGAAGACCAGAGGCTTGCAAGGATACTCCAGGCCTTCTGTACCAGATTTGGATTTCTGTGGGATCCAGCCTCATGGACTGAGCAGTGACCAGGCTTTTAGCCTTTCTAGAATGTGGCCAGAGTAGGACTACCCAGAGTACATCATGCCGGACAATTTAACAAATCCCCTCTTAGTACACATTCATCTTGTATACTCTCCTTTCTAAGATGGTGACTTTTCAGATGCTTCCAAATCTGGGCTTTTCTCTGTTTTAACATGTTTCTCCAATCTTGTCTATTGGATTGATAATATTACCATAATGTAATGGTCTTGTGTTTATTTTACTAATATTACTTTACTAATATACAAATCACTTCCTATGGCAATAAAAGCAATTCAGGAGCAGTCATCTCTGATGTTATCCAAGGATGACTTTCCTTTTTTTTAACCTTACGATATTCATTTTTAAAAAGAAGTTTATTTTCTCACTTATAAATTCTACTTAAGGAAAACATGTAACATTTGAAGTAATAGGATACTATACTAGAAATTTGAATCTACCTAAAAATAGTTTAATTCCATCATGTAAATGCAAATTTCAGGGGTGGACACCCTCTTCAAAGAAGACTTTGTTCAGACTTAATACCATTTAGAGAGGAACAGTGAGTGGGTGTGCAAAACGATATGGAGTTGCTCGTGGCTCTCAGCAGGTTTGTCTTAACCTCTATGGTTATTTTGAGGTCAGCTGCGTTCAGAAGTATGTGCATTTGGACTCAAAGCTCCACTGGAGTTCAGCTTTGACAGGAAGAAAATAAACACATTCTTGTATCTACAACAGTAGGTGTTTCCAAACTTATTTTATTTAATAACTTCCAAGGGCTGAAGGTTTCCATATCAAATAATATTTTTATCAGAAAATGTACCTAAAATAAAATAAGTTAAAGATGTTTAATACTCTTTATGGGACCAGATTTTTTGGATATTTTGTTTTTTGGGGACTTTGGGGTGACTGGTTAAATCATTTATGTAGAAGTAAATCACACTTTGGGGACAAATGAAAGTTATGGTTCATGTTTGAAGTGCTGGATAATACAAATGATCACTTATACTTTTATATTTGGTTTAGGGATATAAGGCAATATCCAAAATGTACATGAAAGTGCAAACAGAGAGAGAGAGAGACAGAGAGAGAGACAGAGAGACAGAGAGACAGAGAGACAGAGAGACAGAGAGACAGAGAGAGACAGAGAGAAAGGACTTCAAGTACTCGGCTAGAAGATCAGCTAGAAGTTTCAATAATCCCTTGTGAAAAAGACTTTTTGTTTCAAAAGCTTTCTAGGGAAAACATATCTAAATAGATATTCCTAATGAAATATTCCTGCAAATGGTTAAATATTCTTAGACCTAGGGATGATAGCATAATGAAAGGTGATACTTTGGGGAGGAAAATATCTACTCAGAATAGAAAAAGTACCAGTTATAAATAACAATAATTCAAAAAATATTTTCAATAATAATTTCCACTTATCTGGTAAATTTTTCATAAAAATTATAAATTGCTTTAAAAGAGAACATAGACTAATCAATTTGTCTTAGCTTCTTCAGCTTTCTAATCAAGGAGTTGGACTAAATGTTAATCTTTTAGCTCTAATAGTGTATCATTCAAGCTGATAGAAGGTATTAAAATGGACCCATTGGTTTATCCAAATGATAATAGAAAATGTGGCTTAAACGTATGAAGCCTGGCAATGCAATTTTTTTGTTTGTTGAGAACAAAGGAAAGTACTAAGTGATGAAAGATATTATCCAAAGTTCAAACCCATTCAGGTTTAGTCAGTTACCCCTGACCATCAAATAGTTTACACTGTTTTGTTTTATTGAAGACTCCAAGAATTCCAGGCACCTACTGTTGGAAATCTTTCATTATTATTTTTGAGATGAGATCGGGACTTCCGATTTTTAAAGATCTCAACATTCTAGTTTGAACATAAAGATGGGAGCTACAGATCACTCCCAGACTGACTGGGATCCAGGGGAGCAGAGGAACAGACCTGACCCTGGGGGGGCCTATGGATGACTTCCAGACTGCCTGGAATCTAGGAGTCCTGCCTGGGACCCAGGGGCACAGAGGAACAGAAATACCCATGGCAATATTTGTAGTTTATCATTTCCTGCCCCTAGGAACCACTTTTCTGGTAATTTCTCTCCTCTAGGGGAAAAGTACAGAGCAATTAACACCTGCCATCTTGACTACTCTCCTGTGGTAGGAAAAGTCCCTGATGGGAGCAAGAATGAGAGAGTGGATCTATAACCTTCACAATTTGTGCCAAAATCACATTGTAGACACTTAATTCCACTTAAGCCCTGGAAGTTTTCTCCCTGTAAACCAAGAATCTAGCCATCACTATGCTACTGTCTCAAGCCTTCTAAGGCAATCTGTGATTTACAAATTACTTCCTTTACTTCAGGGATTGGTATCATAAAGTGGGTTCCTCTTAGTGGCTAGAGTATACTAAGGAGAACAGCCACTGAATCTGTTTCTTTTTTGGGTGAAGTAGAATTAATATTTAACTAGCCATATAACATAATTGTCTATAAACGGGAACGATGGGCAACAAAGTGGCTTTGAAGTTCATCCTTCTAGGCTTCTAAGGATCTCAACTTTCCTGCTTCCTCCATGCTACTTATCAGTAAAGATTTCACGCATCTGGTGTGAGCAAATTGTAGCCGAACTATAAATCACAGTTTTTCATGTGACTATCAATGCCCAAATGTAGTTTAAGGCCTTTTTACACAGTATAAGAAATACAGCATAATTTAGCTGTCAATAAAATATTGTTCCTGATCATCCTCTTTATTTAAAAAAAGTGAATTCATCTCTTAGCTACTAATTTTGGGGAAACAATTAGAAAAAGGGAAAAATCAAAACAAGTGACTTACTTCTACAGAGGCAGAACTCCAGATAAAGCAGCTAAAAAACTTACCACAATTTTAACAAAAAGTAAAATTCAGCACAACTTAATTCCTTTTTGTATGTCATTTAAGGAATGTTTGTTACTGAGATTGACAAAATAAATTCATTACTTTGTCCTGTCATTATTAAGGCAGTCTTACGATACTGGCTCTGAGAATCAAGTATATAGTTAAAGCCATGTGAGACTACCAGATGATGTATAAAAGCACAAATGAGCATCTTATGCTTGCTTTAGAAGGCTGATCTGTTAAACCTGTGATGTTGTTCTTCAAACAAGAAACAATACAAGTTATCTTCATATGGGTTAAAATGCTATTTAAGATAAGACTTCTGGAAAACTGCTAATGTTTGTGTATAATTCTTATTTTTCAATGCAGTTGGTGGCCAAGGAAGTGGTTAATAATATATGAACGTCAAATGCCATAGGTGGATACCTATTAAAAGGTGTGCACTATATAAATAGGATTGTATATTTTCAAAACTGTAAAATAAACACAAAGAATTATAGGTCTACATGTTATAATTTAAAGTCAACACTGGCACTTTTTTTAACCTAAATACATTCCTATGACAATACATGCACCTACAAACACATGGCCATGCACATAACCTTGTTTTCTGCATTTGCAAGAAAGTTAGAATATACAATATTGTACATTGTGTCAACTTAAATCATTTTGGAAAGTCAATGAAGATGGCAATAAAAATCTAATCTAAGAAATTAAAATACAAGGAGAAAATTATATCATAGATTAAAAACACTGAAGACTGATGGAAAGTTAGGGTTAGATCGCTTGTCCCAGTGATCTTGAAAGATGCAGAAGAGAACAGGACAGTTTGTAAACACGCTGAATATTCAGTTTGGCAAAAGGGATGAAAACTTTTGTAATCCAGCAATGCAGGCTAGAGATCTAGACCATCTGGGCTGCGGTTTGCAGAGAGACTTTATAGCTGTGGGCAGTCCTCCGTAAGGCTGGGGGTGCAGATGGTGATCTGGATGCCCATCTGGATGGGAGCCGGCGATTGGCTGGTCTAGCAGGTCGGGAAAATCCTTTTCCATTTGAGGCTTTCACTGCTATGGATTCCTGCAACACAAATAAAGGCCACGGTCTCCTTACACACACCGCCTTTATCCAAGAAATATATCAAAAGGACCACCACCACCACCACCACCACAATAACAACAATAAAAGTGTTCATGAGATTTTGTATTCATGGTTCCAACTGTCCTTCTTCAAATGATATTTTTTAGATTTATTTTTGTTATACATAGGTGTTTTGCTCATATCCATGTATGTTCATATGTGCACTATGTGTGTGCCTGGTGCCCACAGAGGTCAAAAGCGGTCATCAGATTCCTTGAACTGGAGTTAACAGAGGGTTATAAGATGCCCTGTGGGAACTGGGAACTGAACTCAAGGCCTCTGGAAGAGAAGCCAGTGCTCTTCCCGGCTGAGCCATCTCTTCAGCTCCTGCAACCCTGCAACCTGCCCTCCTAAGAAAGCTGATGTTCTTGCATCTGAGACAGGCAGTGAGGACAGACTCAGGTGCTACTGCCTCCCTCAGAGCCAAGTAACAACCTCATTTTTATTGTCTCTTTGGATTCTTACATTTAATTCACAGGGGTTTTAAAAATGAAGCAAAGCAATGCAATATGTTCCTAAGGATCTACAGGAGAATACCCCCCCCAATCCCTAAACAATGAAAAAGAAGAAACATTCAGCGTATGTTCTTAGTTCATGAGAAATTTGTTGGTTATATTCGTGTTTGTGTGTCTCTGATCATAGGACCTACAGATTTATGGTTTCAACTAAAATGAAGGGAAGTATAAAAGCCAGTGAATTATTTGAAATGCTGGCTAATATAATGTCTCATTATTTAAATTACATATAAAAGGGGGCATTTTGTATAAGTCTTCATAGACTGTACTCTTTTAAGTGGACAAAAAAGAATTGTTTATTTAAATACCCATTTTTTTGTTAATTTTTATGTAAAAAGTATCTGTGACTAGCTGTATTTTGTAGACTGTCTTTTAGTGGCACAAACAAAAGAGTTTGTTTTTATTTGTTTTAAATGTTTAAACATTTAAAACTAGACATTATTTTACCATCATACACATTTGTGTGACTAACCCTATGAGGACACAAGTCATACAATGGGAAAGACTGAATCAATCGTAATTGAGAAAGTGGATGTTATTAAAAAATGTTTTATGTACTGAAATAATAAACCTTTAGGGTAAAACTCTGTAAATCAACAGATATGTATTCTGATTTATTTTAAAGAAAGGAAACAAATAACTTTCCTCGGGTTCTTGAAAGCATAGTATATCAATTTTACTATTTATTATTTACCTATTTTTGAGGCAGGGTCTCACTACATAGTCCCAGATGATGGGAATTCAACTTTGAAAACCATTCCAGTGTCAAACACCCAGAGCTCCACCTGCTTCTACCTCCTGAGTGTTGAAATTAAAGTTATGAGTGACCACATGTGTCCTTGATATGACTTATTTTTAAATAATGCGCTAGTTGAAGTTTTTAAAACTGTACCCTCAATTCATATTAAGTTATGCCTCACAGAGAGCCAAGAAGCTAAGAAGATACCAAATTGTGTCTACACCCTACTTATATGATCTAGCAACGGGCCTCATTTCAGAGCTATTACTAAAGATGGATGTAGTCTCTGATTAGCTGTGTTATCTTATTTGAATCTATCACTCCACTTGCTGATCCCCACCCTAAGCAAATGTTCCATTTGATACATTTCTAAACATCGGCCCTATATGGTACCACCACTTACATCAGAACCGCATTTGGTCCAGTTATCCCTGAAGCATTTCGAGTTTTGCTGTGCAGACCCCGTCTCTGTCTCATAGGTTTTCAGCAGCTTTTTCACAACACCATAATTTGATCTGGGATCAGCTGACTTTGGCCGGCTAGAAAAATTGCTTGGTCGCCAATCATGCTCGTGGAACATGAGCTGATAGCTGCTGGGACTCACACATGCCTGAATTTGTTTGACCAGGCCTGTTGCAGATACTTCTGTGGAATTACTGAACATGTTTTCCATGGGCACAGGCATTTGGTCACTAGCTTTCAAGCCATTAGTCCCACTGACACTTTCTGATACATCATCTGTTTGAGCAGTAGAGCTATCACAGAGATGGAGATAATCAAGTGGTTTTGAGTAGCTTTGACTTTGCTGTCCTGCTTGACAATTTCTGTCTGTTCTAAATACAGTTCTGTTAAATTCATCAATCTTTGCTGCCAGCTTTTCATTCCTTGGAGTCTTTTCTAAATTGCAGTTGTAACTTCTGCATGGGTCTGTCTGTGTCAGTGAGTGAAGAAAGTCATTTTTCACATGATGATCAAGATGATATTTAGTAGGGTTATCAGGAATCACCTTATTAAATTTTGCTTTATGGGGGGTGAAACCAACTTTTTGAGACTGTGTAGAAGGGCTCTCCTTTGTACCTATAAAAGTGTCACATGACCACATATTAAGTCCAGTGTCTTCATTACCTGGAGGCTTGCTATCTATTTTGACTTCTGGTGTCAAAGAGGAAACCATGGTACTGTCTTTCAGTCTTCTGTCTTGTGGAAACAATGGAGACTGCCTCAAAAGGAAATGAGGACTGCAATTCCTTTTGTCTTGATTCTCATGGGCCACCCAACTGTGGTATAAACTTTCCTTCAGTCTTTCTTGGGTTTGTTCAGAGTATGAGCTGGAGAAATTTCGAGAGGTACTTCTTGGAGGAGGAATTGGTGGTATTTCACTTCTTTGTAAATCAATTATATCAATTCCACAGTTTTTCATAGAATTGTTTTGGAATCCATTAGCCCAGCTCTGATTCTTTTGCTGTTTTTCTTTCTCCAAATTGGTTGGAAGAATGCTCTGGCCATTACTGATCAAGTGGTCCCCATGAGGTACACGGATTGCATTGGGCATTTCCCGGAGAACAGAATCTGACTTCATCCTAAACAATCATAAAACAAGGTACATCAATGACAATTTTTTTTCAAAATGAGCTTTTAAGGGAAGCCATAGTTTAAAAAATACATTTCGGCTATAAGTCACAATTTTCTGAAACATTATGTGTGTATAGTTTTATATATATATGTGTGCACATATATATACATAGTGCTATATAAAAGTACGCATATATATGTATGTGTATGTATTCATATTCTAAATCCACTTATTACAAGGTCTCTTTATTTCTTTATTGTAGGATAAAGTCTTCAGTGTTAAATTTATGCATTTAACCCAAATTTTAGTCATTGTCATTCCCCAACATGAATTCTCATGCAAGATTCAAACTAGACAATATGGTCTCCTGAGTTTCGGCTTTTGACCCACCCATTTTTACAGTTTTTCTCCTGCCATATCCTTTTCCTCTCTTTCCTATGCAATTCCTATTCACTATTCATAATTCCTATTCAGTCTTTCATTTTTCTCCTTGGATTGTAAATAGCACTGGGAATAGTGTTAGTCTGAATGAAGTATCATGAGCACTAAGTAACCCCAAATGGAAAGTTTCATTTGAACTTGAAAAGAAACTAAGACTATATTTAATGAATCAAAGAAAGGGAAAAAAAGAAACAGGCTCTAACAAGGTGTGCCTATTGAGAGAAGAGTGCCCTGGATGGATTTGAAGCAGAGTGAGGGATAATGAATGACACAGAAATACTAAGTCACGTCAAATCTTAGAACAATATTGAGGCTTTGAAGTGCTTTCTGGAGGGCATTGGGATGACCACAAAAGCTTCACTCTTTAATGGTTTGCGTTTTTTTTTTTTTTGAGAATTTCATACCATATATTTTGGTCATATTCTTTGATCTTTCTTAACTCCTCCCAGATTGTCTCTACCTCCCTATTCACCCAACTTTGTTCCTTTCACCATGACAGTTTTATACTGTATAAGGAGACTGGCAAGTCTCTGTATAAAACAATGTGGACTAACAAATAACAAAATCACATAATAAATTATACATGCTGAACTTAGAAAAAGCTTCTACAACATCTTAAAATGAAGTATAGTAAGCACCCCTAACAGAAGACAGAAGGGAAGTTCAATGGTCAAACGGAAGACAGTGCACTGTGGATAACACACTCTGTTGCAAGTCAGCACAAAACTGAGTGTCCTGACAGCTAAATACAGAAAGGAAACCCATTGTTGTAGCATTCTAAGAGAATATCTGATCTCTTGATGAGCTAATTGTTGACACAGAATATCTGTACTCACTATGCATAGAACTCCAAATTATTATTTTTTTAACTTAGCTAAAACTTAGTCTTAAAATGACATTGTGTTTTTAACATAAAATAAAACAATAGTTTTAGGTCATAGGTGCCATATAATGTGCTACTTTGAAAAGTACATAATCCTTTATTATGTGCCTAACTGATGAAAATTAAATGATCCAGGCATAAAATATTTAAGTAGAATATCTTATATTGTTCAAACACCACATTATTAAATTTGACATAGTTTAAAAATTGATTTAACTGGATTTGCCCATCTGTATATTTTTCCCCTGGTCAAACACTCAAAATGAGAAAGACCTACAATAGAGGATACATATCCATTTATTACAGAGTCTAGCTTAACTAAACTCAAAGAATATCATATTCCTAATATTTAAGTTATAAAACATATTAGAAGATTGCTTTTTAAGAATCCATGAAATAAGATATACATCATGAGGCAGTTTAGATTCACTGACTATAAACAAAATTCTTTTGGATTTCCCAGTTTACAATAATCACATGTGTGCCAGCCTACCGTCTGTGGTTAGGGTGCTTTCGGATTTCCTCTTGAAAGGTGCATAATGCTTCACTCACTTTTGCAAGTTCTTCAAGAGCCTTCATATACATAACACATAAAAGAGAGGTGTTGTTAGCACTCGGAAGGGCAAACACTTCTTTAGAAACAGTTCCTGGCTGATCCCATATTACTTACTGTGTTAAGGGCGACAGAACAATCTTTACTCTCCTCAGAAGTCCTCGCTCCAGACCATGCCTCACATGCCTCCTCTTCTGTGGCCAAAGGATTCAGAAGCCCGACTTTGCTTCCTGTGGGTGTGTTTTGTTTTTTATAAGCTTGGTTTCCTCCTCTGAGGAAGTCCCTTTCTAGTTTGTGGTCCTTTTCCAGATCATCTTGATGATTCCTCACTCTAAATTCACGTTGTCCTGAATCGGAGGGATTTGGAGGAAATTCCATTTTATTTTGACCATGATCAATATCAATGACCTTAGAAGGTTCATTCATATTCATTTTCCTCCTCAGCTTTACTTCCTGGCAAAGCTGTAGGAAATAAAAATTAAAAATGTAGTTTTCCTAATTTACTTGATCAATATCTTTTTCTTTCTTTTTTTGATCAATATATTTTTTTAAAAGCAGAGTTTTATTACATAGTGTTCTCAGGCTTCCCAATATCTACCTGTCTCTGTCTCTGAGTACTGGAAATAAAGGTATGTGCTACTTACTATGCCTAACTTTGATCGATATTCTTGATACTAAGCAAATCATTCTGAGTTCTTTTTGCAATATTACTATATACTACCATGGGTAGTAATGATTGTGCATATAGATAGTGCTTCTAAAACAGGGTCCAGCTAGGACAACTTTGATGAACCATAAAGACTAGTTTTAGTAGAGTAATGTGTAGATACAACATTCTGTTTTTCTGATGAGAAATCAACTCATTGAAAAACAAAAAAGTCTGGATCTATACAGAGTGCAGAAACACAATCACAAATTACACTGACCCAAATCAATTACTCTCTATTCTCTATAATCACTTTCTAATATGACAAGAGTTTAACACTAATAGTCATATATTTTAAACATATGATCTTATATAACAACATTAACTGTCTAAATAGGTGACAACACCATATAGTAAACCAGAATATTCTTTCCTCTAGGTAATCCCTTATTAATAATTTCCTTGGTTGGTCAACTACATTATTGAGATATTATAGTGACATTTTTAATGCAACAATGATACACATTCTTTTAAAAAGTTGTTTTTACTCAGATTAAAATGATTGCATCAGTGTTCTACATGATAAAACAGAGCTTCAAAGCTTGGACCATCTATCGCCTCCGTAAAAGACAATCCCAAATTATTTCTTAAGGAGGATGCCTTAGTGAAATCAGCTGATACTCCATCAGCTAAGCCCCAATGTGAAGAAGGAAGTAATGTTCTCCTGAGATTTGCTTACATCTTGCAAAAGCATATCATTTTAAAACAGACCATCAAATAACTTTAAAGCAAATACTTATATATTTCACAAAGGTAATAGATGCCTATAATAATAACATACTCAATATTTATGCATAATTCCCATTAAGAGAGTATACATAACTAATACATTAAGGATACATGGTGCTTTTAGTTCCCCAATATTGATAAAGATTTTAATCACTCATCTCAATGACTGAAGTAAGGTTCCCATCAAACTACAGCAATAAATTGTTTTGATGCCTACAAAATTATCTGTACTGAATTACTCTTCAACATGAATGATATAAAGAACAACCCTCAAAGTGCTCTGTTAAATTTATGGATGCTATTGGCAGTGTTTTCTCATTTTTAAGAATTTATGAATAGACTTGGCATGGTGGCACTCACCTTTAATCCCAGCACTCAGGAGGCAGAGGCAGGAGTATCTCTATGAGTTTGAGGTCAGCCTGGTCTACAAAGCAAGTTTCAGGACAGTCAAGGCTGTTACACAGAGAAACCCTGTCTCAAAACAGAACAAAACAAAAACATTCCTGAATTAAAAAGAAAATTGCTATAGTTTCAAACCTGGGGAAATTGTGCTATTCATAACACATGACTTTTCATTTCGCATGTTAACTGTATTGGGTTCTAGAAAGACTCACTCTTGTGTATTATATACAATTCCTTTCATGTATTCACCTCTTCCTTCAGTTTTTGATTTAGTATAATTTACCTTACATACAATTTTATGCCATTATAGCTTCCCAAAATTTCTCAACTTAGTTGAGATATTAAAACAACAACAGCAAAAATTCCCCCCTCAAAAAAACTAGTACACTGTAACGAATGGAAAACTTTTTCTTTGGCTTAATACTCAGCCCCTGTCAATAGCTGAATGACCAAAGGACACAAACAGAACAGATTGCAAGGCAACAAAAAAGTTTCAAGATTTCTATCAGCTCAATGTATACATAATTATAGTTCATATGTGGATTATTCCATGTTTAAAATGGTCTGAGTACACATGCCTTGGATTTTCAATAGCAATAGCACTGAACATGGAGAGGGACCCAGCAGAGATGCATGAGCATCTTCATGCTGGATGCTTTCACTCAATGGTACTATTACTTAACATCACCGATGTTACAGGTGCACACTCTGGAGTCTGCATTTCTCTAGCACATGGCTCAATATCATGCATACTACACTTATTTAAAAATGTATTTGCTAAGGAAAAAATACTTTATTATGCTTGAACCATACAATTTCCAAGTACTTTTTTAAAGTTTTACTTTTAAAAACAAGGGTCGATTCTCTACAGCCTGAGAAAATATTTCCTTGTGTTTTTCTCAGCATTTTTTTATCTTAGCTTTGCACACTGTAGACCATATGCATATGATTAGAAGAAGACACACAGTGCTGGCATTGAGAAATTACCTATGGGCACGTTTTATAAACATACCCTCAACTATCCTATTTTAATCACAGGCAGGAAAGTCCTTGGATAAGGGGAGTAAAGGGAGTTAGTAGAGTGTTTTTCAAATGTAGTAGTAGAAGTAGATTTATTTTGGAATCATTAACCACAGATGTCTCATCTTTATTATTCCCTTGGGGAAGGATTTAATACCCCCAATCTTTATTTTCCATTTTGGCATACCACTTTTTCACTGTGTATTTTATTCAAAACCTATTTGTTCTCTGTTAATCAGAAAGAAGTGTGGATGCACTGTAAACATGCAAAGCCCTTGCTTTGCTTGTCTGCTAAAGAAAAATAAGGCTCAGGGAGCTGTTAAATAACTGTCTTGTTAAGTTGAAGAAACCATAAAATCCAATATTATTTATTGAACAAAATATAGCAAAATCAATATACATAAATTTCAGTTGGAGAAAGCTTGAAGACACACTAAAGTAAATGTATTAAGGAATATTTCACGCAAAAAATAGAGGATGATAGGTGTGATTAATGAGAATAAAATTACTGACTGTGTCAGAGCCACGATATATGATTTTAAAAACCCATTTCCTAATAACACCTTGCCAGAGTAAATCTGATGTCTTCTACCACTTTTCTGTCTGACATATGACATACCTTTTGATGCTGCTGATTTATTTGACAATCTTTGGTATATATTACTCATATACCATCTCAGGAAGGAGATGGTATATGAGTACCAAATTATATTCTTGATACTGTATGCCTCATAAATTATTTATTTCTTGCATTTTCATCCTAGGCTATAGTAGATGAAGAGTCATACAGAATATACACATTACTTTTGGTACCATGAACCTGAAATCAGAGAATAATAAATTGATACATTGAAGAGCATAAGTTCTCAACCTGTGGGTCGTGACCCCTTTAGGCTCACATATAAGTTAGTCTACATTTAAGATATTTACACATTATTCATAGCAGCAATAAAATTACTGTTACAAAGTAGCAACAAAATAATTTTATGGTTGCGTGGAGTCGCCACACCATGAGGAGTTGTATTAAGGTGTTACAGCATTAGCAAGGTTGAGAACCATTTCAAGGTCTTCATTTTCATGTAAGGTTATAAAATAAATGCAGTCTCAGAGACACCAGTAGGTGTGGTTAGGCTGGTTTTGATCTAGTAAGTGTCACGAGACGTTTATTTCTTTGGGGGAAGAAGAGAAACGAAAGTAGTCCCCAATAGGAAATGAATGTCAGCAGGATTTTCATGTCTAGCTTGGAGTTTACAGCATCTTTAAACGAATCAGGTCATACCTGTTCAATCTTCTGCTGCATGACCTTCCACTGACTTTCCCATTCTTTTCTTTCGTTATCAAACTGGTCCAGTAATTCCATCTTTTCCTTATGCCAGTTGGCCTCTGTGTTCTCCCGCTGCTTATGCAGGTCCATGGCAACTGTGTGGGGGTCAGCCAAGGGGTCTCTGCTCATCTCTGCCTTCTCTCAGCTGTTTCTTGGAAATGTGGAAGTGTTTGATTGGAAGGGGTCTCACTTGCCTTTAAAATAAAGCCTGAGATAAACATGAGAAGACAGAGTTCCAAGTTCACGTGCTTTGTGGAAATATCATTTTGTCAAGAACCAGTGACATAATGTATAGAAATAACTATAGGAACCTAAACAGGAAAGAAACAAGATCTTCCCTAGGTCAAGTGGAAAGATTGTGCCAAGATCCAACAGGTAGTCACCTCAGCAGATTCATGTCTTAGCTAGAAAGCATGCCAGTCTTAAAAATGAAAAAAAGGTCATTGTTTTACTTCCTCAAATAAAATCTGCAGTATCACTATTGTTCCATGAGACACATCTTAAAACTTACTCATGATCTCTTTCACCTGGACTTATACGTGCCTTGAACAATAACTATAGGAAACTGAAGAAATGCTTTCTTATGTTACAATAAGTAGTGACCAAAATGGCCTGATTTCTACCATTCAGGATATGAATATTTAGGGTTTGATGAGACAGTTTAAAATACCAGACACAGAGCCTGGAAAGATGGCTCAGACCTTACGATTGCGCACTGCCCTTATTTGGTTCTCAACCCCCTTATAGAGTGACTTATAATCACCTGTAACCTCAGCTTCAGGGAATCCAACATCTTTTTTCTGAATTCTGTGGACACTTGCACTGACAAGTGCATGTATCCTATCCCCAATATACACATAGTTAAGATTAACCTTAAAATACAAGATATGTAATTATGTCATAAACTTTGATAGTTTTTACATTAAAGTGAGGATACCCATAGCATTATTATGAACTTTAGATAGTATAATAAATGCACAGTAATTTTAGAAATTAAAAAATACTTTGGACTTTAAAAGTTTCACTTTATCTGAAGAAAGTTTTTAATAATAAAATCATGTATCTTTGTATTGAACATAAAAGCTTATTGGTAATGCACCATTATATTTACAATTACTGTGTCAATAAGAAGCAGAGTTATGGGTAGCAGAAGGCTCACATGATTAGCTTGTCAAGGGCCTGGACTCCAGCACACACATGTGTGCAACAATGTGTGCATGTGCGCACACGCAACGTGCACACACACACACACACATGAAAGAGAGAAAAAAAAACAAAAACCAAACAAAACCCAAACTCTGATTCTTCATGTTACTAATCCATGTCCATAACACTAACCCTTTTTGTTGCTTATGGATGAATTTGTCAATAGTCAATGTTGTGATGTTGCTGGCAGAACTAAGTCTGTAGGACTATGTAGCAAGAGCAATTTTGCACTCACTGAAGACAGATGCATATTTCACACCTCATATATTAGATGACCGTGAAAGATAACTATTTTTGTTATGCCTCTCCAGTTAAAATAGGAATGAATTATTATAGACTAGAAAGAATTGGGAACATAACACTTTTTAATGCAGGCTCTGCTTCTTAAAAATAAAAAAAAATAGATCAGTATTTATCCCGGGTATACAAATGGACTTTGGAATCCCATCCAACAATGTGAGATGCACTCTCATCCTGAACTCTTGGGGGAGGGTCTAGGCCCTGCCCTGGATGAAATGACAGACTATGGACACCCTCGTGGAGGGCCTCACCCTCTCTGGGGAAATGAGGGGATATTGGGGGAGTTGGGGGAGGGCATGGGAGGAGGGGAGGGAAACGGAGAGAGACCTGGAACTGACTTGTGAAGCAACCTTGTTTCTAATTTAAATTTAAAAATAAAAAAGTTAAATTACTAAAAAAAAACAATGAATTATATTAAGCAAATGGACAAAAATATAAAAAATAAACAACAACAAAAAGTCTATTAATGGAAAGATCTATAGTTTTCTCAAAAACATTTACCAATGACACTTTGATATTTTTTGCATATGTCCTTGGCACTCACAGTATCATTACTAATTCAGTCAAGAAAACTAAACAATTTCAAATTTAGTTACAAACATGCTCTCATGACCCCTGTGTTAGTCACCCATGCTCTGTTTCTAAACTCATTTTCTTCCTCATTATTCCTGGTTTTCTTTTGCTACTCTCCCCACTTATAAAGCCAAGCCACGGAGATCTAACACAATGAAGACAGTAAAGAATTTACAGAATTTGGGTTTTTGTTTCGACTGGCATAATTTTTACTACTGATAACCTAGTGATATTTTAGGTCCACCTAAAACTAATTTCCAGGAAATACAGATATTTGTTGTGAGAATGGAAGACTGCTTCAAAGCTATCTGTAACCAATTGTGATCTGGAAGTATCTCAATGGCCATAAATAATTGCCTCTGAAACATCTTTGGAAAAGGGTAGAGGTCTGAGACATCAGGAAGAAACTCCAAATTTAACCAAGGATGCTAGACAAAGGGAATGTTTTCTGACAAGATAGTCACAAAAAAGGTTTTATAATATTCCAAGTATTTATTCAAGTCATGGAACTATGGGTGCAAGTTCGTTCGTTTTAATTCCTCCTGACCACAGGCACCTCCTAGTTTAAAGATGTCAAGCCCTTCTATTTTTATCTACAAGAAGATCATCTAGTTTTGTCCCTAATAACAGGAGTATGTCAGCCCAGGAAAGAGTTGTGGAGGCCTGATCCTGAGCTCCTCTGCAGAACATCAAACTTGTCAGCTAGTATTGAAGGACTGATCTTCATAGCCTCCCCTTTCCAGAACCAGAGTAAAGGCCTAGTGAGTGAAAGGTGATGACTACTGCTGGAAACCAGTGATTTCTTATTAAAAAGAAAGCTTCACCAAAATGCTTATTTACAGCAATGTTTACCTCTTTTTTTTTTTTTTTTTTTTTGGTAGGTGGATTTCCTTTGCTTTGCTAGAATCTCTGTCTTGGATTCAATACATATAAATACCCACTCAAACACAGCAGGGGTACTTCACTGTTCTCTAAAAACAAAGTGTGTGGGGGGCATGGAAACATTCCGAAGTGCAATTTATCAAGTGAGAGAATGTGTATAAAGAATCTAAACACTACACATAATGAGTTCTTAATAAATGATTATTCCTTCCCCTTGTCTTTCGTCTTCCCTCTTTATCTTTTCCTTCATGCATTTCCACGTAACTCACTTCTGAAAGTAATACTGGTTATTTTGAATTTTACTTCTCTGAAATCAAGTCTAAATGTGTAAACTCTTATATTCCCTTTGATTGTGTCTTGCCTTGGATGTATGCCAAGTCAAGTATTTAGTGCGAAACAGCTTGTTGCTAGCAAAAAGTTAAATAAATGTATAAAACTGCTTTTGCTATCATTCTCAATCAAGTTTTAAGATGTCGAGCTAAAGGATCAATTGTGTGGGGACAGAGTGTTCTGTGATGAGAAGTTTCAGGGTCAAGCAGAGCAGCACATCCAAAAGCCCAGATTTAGTGTTCTCCCTGAAGCAGATATAAAAGTTCTCTGTTCTTAGCTGACACTCTTTCCCTCCCACAGATGCTGGCATCTATGTGGGAGAGGAGAATGGATTTTTGCATTCTGTGTCCTCTTTCCCCATATTTCCTTGCTCTCTGTTTTATATTGGTTTTCTTAAATTTCATTCAGAACAGAAGTTGATAAGAGGAACCAGGGAAGGACAAAGGTAGCTGCATTCATTAGTCACACATGTGTCCCTCCCCCAGCAACCCTAATAAACTGGCATTGTGTAATCCCTTTTAACCTCCTTCTCCCCAAGGCCAGAAGCCAAGATTGTAAATGATGGAGAGTGGGTTGTGCAAGAGTCATGATGGGAAGCAAAACGGTTTAGTTAACGGTTCATCAGTGACAGGGAGCAAAATATAAGAACAGCAAAGGGGGTCTCACAGAGAAAAAGTCATAAAATACAAGCTTGGGTGAAAACAACAACTTCTGACTCGGAGAAGCAAAGATCTGAAAGCACTAACCTTGAGCAGATGTACTCCTGCCATTTCACTCCATCCCCCCAGAGCTGCCTCAGTTTGATCGCGGCCACACTTCTTCACGTGGGGCATGCTCAGTTCTTTCCACATCATGGTGTGATCATTTCAAACTGCTTCGTGCCCACTGAAAACTGGGTTTTAGCCAAGTAAGCCTTACAGTGTTAGGAGAGGTTACTGTACTGTCACTTCTGTCTCAGGAGGACTCTGCTCTGAGGACTACTTTGTGACCTCTTACTTTCCTTTTCTAAGCATATTACTCTTCATATAATTCAAGTTCTTCACTCACACGAGGATACACACTCCAGAAGGAATGTATGAGTCAGCAGATACTGCCAACTTCCCAATTCCTAGAAGAGATCATTTGGCCTGGGGATGCCTTGCTCCTGATAAATTTGGAGGGATTAGGGAACCCCATGCCTGTACCTCAAAGTACAGTATCACTTGTCTGAAAAGTTCCCTAGCTCACTTCCCACGTTATTATCAATCACTGATACTGTTTCAGGCAATTAAAAAGTCCTATCTCTCTTAAGCTCTTCATCAGCAAAAATTCAGAGACCTCCCCATTTGACTTTGTTACAAGATAAAATGAAAATTCTTCATGCTGTTTATTGCTATTGCTGCCTGCTCCTTGTTTCCTAGCAAGGTCAAAAAGATACAGAATACCCAATACCAAAGATATCAAGTTTGCTTCTCATTCATTACCGTCATTTATCCTTGGCTCTCCAATACTTTACTTACACATTCAATCTAAGCTATAGGCACATAAATTTTAGTTTCCTCAGCTGATAAAATACAGGCTCTGACTAAAAACAGCAACTTTTGGCTGGGGGAAGCCAATTACCTAAGAGTAGTTAGTAACCTTGGGCAGAGGGTGTGCCACTGCCATTTCTTGAAGACTCCAGTGCCTCTGAGCTCACATTGCAGTAACACTTAACCCTGGAGTCTAAGAGTCATCTTGGATGAAACTACATTGTTTTTATTGTGAATATCAAATAGCAAACTCGGTGGTTGTGAATTTTATCTTGCAGATATTAAAAATCACTTCATCCTGCCACAAACTGCATTCTAATAAATAGTTAATGGAAACTTAGGCTGAGCAAAGTTTTTGTGACCTACTGAGTATTAGTGAGAAACATAGTCTCAGGGTAAGGATGGCAGGGTCAGTCCAGGCTTTGGAAATCCTCTCTCAGCAGCTAAACAGCTTCTTCCCGAGTCAGTTGAATCCGTTATGTACCCCGCCCACTGTCCTAAATCCCAGACACAGGCATCCAAAAGTGCGGGAGATGTTGAGATCCCACGTTACTTAAACCTCATCCACATTCTAAAATGCAGCAACTGCAGCCCCTCTGTATCCTGCCATAATCAGTGTCTTGCTTTCAAATGTGCCAGAAAGAAACATACCTTCTTGTACTTGGGGGCAGTCCTGCAGCAGGTCAGGCTCTGTGTGGTCAGTTTAGCAATGTAATAAGTGGAGCAGAGAGCTAGGTGTCTGAAAGAACAGTCTCAATAATTCCTTTTTAAAACAAAGTCCGTCCATTCGCACAGCGGTTCTTGCAAGTCCCTTCTCAAACTTCACCATCAAAGGGCCACTCAGCTCATTGTCACAACAGCAGCTGGGGCTACTGTGACGTCAGGAACTTGGAGGCGGCCTTCTGGCCCCTGTTTCCAACCAGAGCTCTGTAACTCTAGAGCAGTTCGCACTCTGGGTAAACAACTCCAGGTCCAGGACATTTTTAACTTTTATAATGGAGCCCAGCACTTTCAAACTTGCCAAGAAAGAGAGAGAGAGAGAGAGAGAGAGCTGCTTGCTAATGGCACATGATCATAATGGCCATATTTAGATTTCTTTTATTTGGAAAGTAAACTCATTTCTTAGGAGCAAGAACTATCTATCCTCTTCCTCCAGCCTCTCTCTTTCCCTCTCTCCCCTTAGCTAGTAACAAGATGTAGTCCTCAGTGCCTTTGTAAGTCTGGCCTGGGATGAAGGGGAAGAATGTATCACACAGAGTGAAAGAATCTGAAACACACACACACACACATACACACACACACACACACACACACACACCAACAAGCATGAGTCAAAGAATTATGTGAAAATATACTGAATGCCTGCCTTTACATAAAATAGAAAAGGGGTGTATATAAAAAGCAGCCTTGCATCTCTGTGATCCTATGAAAGCATTATGCCTCTATCTGTAGTATAGTGATGTTTTTACATAGAGGAAGAGGAACCCTCGGGAAACGATGGTAGTTCCTATAAAGGGAGGGCAAGGAAATATCAACAGTGAGATGCCTGTATACTTGACCCCAGTGAGGTATGCTGCAGTCCAAATAGGGGGAAACAATGAGAGTAGCCCAAGTGTGAGTGCCGTGGAGCAGATCAAATAGGCCTGTTTTGGAAATGTGAGGCACCTTTGTCTCCCCACAGTTATCTCTGCTTTTTGTTTGTTATCGGTGTGTCTGTGTCTGTGTGTCTCAGAGTGTGACATGTTATCGGTGTGTCTGTGTCTGTGTGTCTCAGAGTGTGACATGTTATCGGTGTGTCTGTGTCTGTGTGTCTCAGAGTGTGACATGTATATTTGGCCTTATATAAACATATAGGTATCTGATGCTTTAATTTAGCCAGTAATGTCTCTAGGACAATTTTGAAGCTAATACAACACAAAACCTATGCTAGTTTTCAAATAATAAGATCTGATCTTGTTGATGTTTCCCACTTGTATACCATGGTATTTGAAGCATGATATACTTTCATATTATTTTTTCCTGCTTCCAGGTACTATCTCATAGGTAGCTAAAATGTTTAATAATGCTAACCTGTTCATGGCAAAAATAAACTGTGAGGAGCCGCCCTCGCTATCGCTATTGCCGTTAGAAGATGGCGCTGACATCCACTGTCAGTTGGAGTTAACTGTCGCTGTCAGTTGGAGTTAACTGTCGCTGTCAGTTAGAGTTAACTGTCGCTGTCAGTTGGAGTTAACCGTTTAAACTGTGCCTCTCCCGTGACGTCATCTGGGGTGATGTGCAAACCACCAATCCCGGCTCTACACATCTCACTCGGAGCTCCTAGGCTTATATAAGGGGCTGGGTTTCTTAGCTTGGGGTCTCCCTCTAAGAAGCTGATCATCTATCTCTCAAGATGCATTAAAGCTTTACTGCAGAAGGATCCGAGTGTTCTGCGTCGTTCTTGCTGGCGAGACGGTAGCGCGGGACAATAAACTTATTTAATTTTATCACTAATCATGTAATTAATTAAGTTATACAATATAAATTTTACTCTGTAAACCTGGCTAGCCTAAAACTCACTGGCATCGCCCAGATTGGTCTCAACCTGCTTCATCCTTTTAAGCCCTGGAATTATGGAAAAATGTTGGGGCCTAGCCCCCACAGGGTCTCTGAGTTGTTTGTCAGCTGATAGCCACAGGTGCATCCTGTTTTCTAGTCCTGGCTTACTGCCCCAGCATTGCCCCACTGACATCAAAATCTAGCACGAGGAAAACATGCTCTCTTCCACTCGTGTTTTTCTACTGTGTTGTAAGACTATATATAAGACTTCTCCCTCTTAGCACAAGGGAGAGACCTCTTAACACTTGCAAAATAAAGACACTTCTTAGGACAAGCAGCTGGACATCTGGTCTTTTTCTGATACATCGCAGAAAAAGCCACCAAGCTCAGCACGGACTTGGGTATCTTTTCTCCACAGTAGGACTTTAATAAAGGCAGAATAACTGAAAGAAATGCTTGCCCATGTTTAGAGATCCAGGCTTCATAATTCCAACAGCCACAGCAGTCATAAGTTACAATAGTAGTAACAGCAGTTTTTCATTGTGAGCGCTTTATGCAAGACTCAGTGCTAAGAACTCCAAGTGGATCTTTGTGTTACTTTACCCCCTTAGCAACAGTCTCTGCAGTTATTTTTAACCTGATCTTACTTATATCCATGGCTTAGAGAGCTAAAGCGTCTTGACAAAGCCCAAGAAACATCTCTGCCAGGGGGTAAGACTTGGAACTAGTTTTCCTAATTGGGGACCCTGGAATTTTGTCACAGGGATCTAGGTTTCAATTCTTCTGCCATCATTTAACTGTGTGAGTTCATAGCCTCTGTCTCTGCCTTAAACAAACAAATATATATACCTTTTAAGAGTGAGGGAGGGAGTTTGCTCAGAACCATTAACTAAACTATCAAATATTGCTATGTGGAATCTCATTCCAAACCACTCTGTTTCTGTGCATTCTTTCTAAGTCAATTTAGGACTTCACATCCGGGCATGTCAGCATGAGCTGGAGTCCCAGAAGAGCAGGGATATAGGCAGGAGAATCAGGAATTCAAGGTCAATCTCAGATACTGAGGGAGTTCAAAGCCGACCTAGGTGCCATGTGATCCTGTTCTCCAAACAAACACAAGTCCACAAACAAAAACCAAAGAGAAGAAAGAGAAAGGACTCTTCCCAAAATTCTATCAGCTAGCATTTGGCTGACTTAGAGAAGTTACATTGTGCCGTGGACTTTTGTCTTCCTCAGTGCTGACTACTTTGGTGTCCTGTCTATTAGCTTATTGTCAGGTAATTGCATTGTATATAGACTTTGAGCAAGGATATGCTTCAAGTTGAACATTTATGTGAATATCTAATAGCTCTTTCTGTTGAGTAATTTTGTGTATGTGTGTGTGTGTGTCTGTGTGTAGTCTTGATCTCTGTCTCTGTCTCTCTCTATGACGTGAGCATGAAAACTAACTGATAAGATACAAAGGCAACAACTTTTCAAAACAGCTTTCAAGAGTTTCCAAACAATTCCATTTTACAAAGAGTAGCTATTGTTCTGTGCACAAAAACCATGAACTGAAAAGACTAATGATGGTGTAATCTGTCCCACAGTAATGGTGATACTTTTACTTAAGCTGTTTGACATTTTTAAGTAGGTGTTAGAATAACAGAACATCCTTGTGGAAAAATGAGTTGTTGTGTAATGCAGATGATTGATTTGTATGCCATTTGAGCACTTGATTTCATCTTAAAATAAGAAACACTCTCAACTTATTGCTCTCATTTTAGAAAGAATTATACACTCACAATTGAATACCTGATAATCCAATGTCTAAGTATAGCAGAATATGCACAAATATTGTAATAAAATGAAATGGAGAACCACTAGCTGCTATTAAGAAACAATGCAGAGAATTTTAAAAAGGATTTAAAAGCATTTGTGCTAATGACAACATTATCCACAAACTAGAACATTTTGGAAAGGTGGAAGATGGGTACTGAATACATAAATGACACCAGCAGGTGTTTCCAGAGTTACAGAATTTAGAGCCAAAAGGAGTCTCTGAAGTCATCTAGCTAACCTTCTCGTTTTACAGTGAAGGAAGAGGCCCTGGTATGGAGTCATCTGCTCAAGGTCACAGCACTAACGAAGCCGAGAATAGAAGCCAGGACCTCTCATTCCCAATGCGGTGCCTTGAAACTTAAAATTCTACCCAATTCAAGACACAAGAGCCAAGGTCAGGGATATGGAGGCTGGTTGTGACTAGCTTTGTCAAATTCTCTTTTCTTCTGTGTTGAATGAAGGGAGGTGATGGTGTCTCCATCAAGTATGACATAATCACATAGCTGAGTGTTTATTTTGGTAATCAAGGCTTGGATCCTAGGGAGATGGCCCCATGGGTAAAAGTGTTAGTCATGTAAGCCTAATAGCCCTAGTTCAGTCCCTGAAAGGAATGTAAAAAACCTGGATGAGCTGGTGTGCCTCTGTAACCTGGAGGCATGGGAGGCAGAGTTAGGGGAATTGTCCTGAAGCTAGGAATACACAGCATAGAATCTGAAACTAGACACTGCATGCCAGCAAGGTGGAATGTGAGAACGGACTCCTCAGAGTTATACTCTGAGTTCCACTCATGTGTTGTGGCATACACATGCCTGTGCGTGACAGCACACACCACACACACCACACACACACACACACACACACCACACACACACATGCGCATACACTCCCACACACACCACACACACACACACACCACACACACACACACACCACACACACACACCACACACACACACACACACACACCACACACACACATGCGCATACACTCCCACACACACCACACACACACACACACCACACACACACACACACCACACACACACCACACGTGTGTATATACACACACCACACACACATACCACACACACACACCACACACACACATACACACACACACACACACACACACGAGGAGGGGGCACATGAACAAGTACTAAAAATGTTAAAGAGGTTTGTGTTCTTGGCTATAAAAAAGATTCTGGACCAAAGTAAAAAGACATAAGAATTCTAGCTCAGTAGCTGAAAAAAATCTGGGCGTAAACACAGCAGTATGGCTCTAAGCATGGCATTACACAATCTATAGTTTTCTGCAGGCTGATGGTCTTTAAGCACCCCCAAAGTAGTTATTTTACTCTCTTTGAGCCAGGACAGTTCTCGATGCTATAGGACTGGGGAGCGTCTGAGTTCATGTTTGTATAGCTTTCTTTTTTTCCTTCTTTACCATCCAATCATACTTAGGAGTAAAAGGGGCACTGTGTTTGTTTCCTTTAGAAATGACATGAAAATGACAGGCACAGAATGACTTTGGGAGAAAATGAGATCATTCTTTTCATGCTAATGCTGGAGGCCACACTATAGGCGACGTGTTTTAGGT